AAAACTTGAGATTAAAAGAAAGAGTAACAGTAAACAATAAACAGATAGACAGAGTTGAAGCTGCTCCAGGGCTAACAGAACATAATTATCACATACCATCTTTCCAGATGCAAAAATAAGAGCTGTTGTTTTGGGTTCTCTAATCCGCATGATCACAGCAGCAAAACGCTGCAGTTCATTTCAAAAGTAAGTAATCACTATACATTTCAAACAAACAACAGGCATAAAACTTAAAGATCGTTAATGAACTTGTAAGTGATTTATTCAGTTAAGCAGTTTAGAAAACAATAGAAGAAAAAAAAGAAAATCAAAACTAAGAAGTCAGTTTTTACATTGTAGGGGACTAGCATACCTTAGGATTGTATTCCGCATTGCGAGCTTGCAGTGCTATAGCTTTTAGATCAAGTTTGCAGTCTAAATTGACTGTTGAAACAATATTCCTGCATTGTACTCACAACCACATATTATTATATATACAAACGCACACACAAAATTAAACATCCAAGACACATGAAACTTGCTTCTAGAATATGATACAATATACATAATATATATCTATATATGTAAACAATAAACATATATGTTAAGAAAAAATTTTAATCATGTAAGAAGTAATTCATCCCAAGTTGGCAGGCTGTCTAATGGCCACTTAATCACCCAGACAATTGTTTATACTTCATAGCACATTTCAGCCCAGGTTGGCTGGGCAACTGTCTACCACCTAGGCAGCTGCTTCGGCCAATTTTTACAATATTGTTTTGAATCAACATATAACTTCTAACAGGTTCCAAAAAAAATAAAAAATAAAATGTTAAAGTTCATCAAGTTTATAAAGTCATGTTGAACGAAAAGAACAAGATCATAAATAAAAAGCTTAAGAAGCAGATAGCATGTATGTAAAAGGAATGATAATTTCTCTACTCAGTAGTTAAACATACACCCAGAGGATTCCGGTCAATTGGTTGAAACAGTGAGAAGCTAAGTTCTGAAAGCTCACTTATCTACATACCACAAACATCAAACATACAAGAAAACTTCTTGGATCGAACAATAAGGAATCATTAATTCCAACCATAAGATAAAATCTCACTTGAATTATGGGGAACAAAACATATTAGCAAAGTATACAAGACCGGTTGCTCACTTCAACAATGTAATAAACACCGAGAACAAAGCATCAAATTTAAACTTGACCTGCACCATTCACTTAGCTAAATTGGCAAATTCAATGAAATTTGTAAATACATGCTCACATGAAACAATGATGGGCTCAAGTACATTTGTTCACAAGGATCATCAATAGATATTACATTAAGCAGAATCCATATAAGCAAGTATGGTACCAAATTAATGAGGGGTACTCAACCATTGAAAGTTTGGTTGACCACTAAAGTCTAAAGACAAGCAAAGCACATAAATATTGAAAAGTTAGGACATGATCTTACTGGAGGGTTGGGACAATCCCAGAAGGATGCTTAGAGAGATCAACTGGTTGGCTCCCTTCCAACCCTTGGGGATCGGCCATTAATTCAAATCACCTGGGTATTTTAATTTGCTTTCTTTTCACCTACCTAATCTGCCTTTACACAAAGTGAACATAATACAAGTTAATACCATTGAAAGAATCGTCTAAGCGTGAGAATCTATGTTCTCCATGGGGGTTTCAGCAGAAAAAGGGAAAAATAAAAAATAAAAGGACAAATAAACAAAGATAAAAGAAGGATATTGACCCAGCAAAAAGAACAAATCTTTTCAGATTTAGAACCTTTTAAAGGATATCATACAAAATCTTGAGTAAGACATCTATAAGCCCACCCAGAACCCCAAACCCTCAACTTCGGTCCTGTGACATGGAGAAAACTGGCGAAAGAAGATCCAAAAATATAAAGAAATATAAACAGATCTTAAAGAGAATAGAAAATCGTATAAGAAACTGAGACATAAAGGTACAAAATCCAAAGCCAAAGGAGAATAGAGGACAAATTAAAAAGAGAGAACTGAGAGATCCAACCTTATTGTAGAAGTGAATTGGATGGATCTAGGGTTTTACTATAATCGTCCGAGCAAAAGAAACAAGAAAAGAGGGAAATGAACAACAGAAAAAATGAGAAATAGAACGGTAATAAGATTTGAGAAGCTCAAGCTTTTATACCAACAGGACGAATTTGGCTCGTTTGCGCTCGTCTATATATATGAAGCCGATGGAGATGAAGATATAGGAGAATGCTTATATACCTGTGGCTGTGCGTGTTTATACGAGAGGAGAGAGGGAGATGGAGAAGGGCCTTTGGGCTTTGAAGGACTGTGATAATGACTAGGCCCAGTTGCACATCTAAAGCCAAATATCGGCAGTCCAAAACCCAATAACACTTGGGCAAAATACATTTTTATTACACTTTTCTTCAAATCTCAAAAAAAAGACAAAAACATTTTAAACGTCTAGTTATATCTAAAATATATATTTTAATAAAAATATGAATTTTATTCTATATAGTCATGTTTAATTTACTTTCGTCAATCTTAAATTTATTACATTTGTTGACGATCGACCGTCAATGGTTATTAGTTACATTTTAATAATCATGCCGATTTGTGATGAGATCCACATAAACAGTAAAATTCTCCGAAATTTATATTGAGAGTATATTTATATGGGGCATGAGTTGTCATATTTTTATACGAAAAGAGCACTTTGGAGGCTTGCCCCTCTCATCTCAAAAGCTGCAGTGAGTAATTGGTTAAAATACTTTGAGGTGACTCGGTTGGTAGGCTTTGGAAAAATGAGACAACAATGAAGGTAAGTAGGTTCTTTTGGTCCAAGAGGCGACTCTTCTTCTGTTGTTTTGCTTTTTTCATTTTTTGTTCTTCGTGTTGTTAGGGTATAAGGGCTCAGTTGTGTTGTAACTGACTTAGATCCTTATTTTGTTTAGTTTGGTCTATGCCTCCTATGTGTGGTTCTCTCTTATTTTCGACTTTCAGTATTGGATTGCTTTGTATTCAAATTTTGGTTTCGCTTTTACTGAGNTCGGTCAAAAAAAAAAAAAAAATGTACATACTTTATGCATTCCTAGTTACGCTTGACACAAAATTAATTTTTTTGTACAAAATTGAAATTAATAAATAATTATTGGACAAAACGGACAAAAGTAGAAGTATCAAATAGCAACTTTAAAAAGTCACTGGATAATAAACATATTAAACAACAAAAGTTAATGAACTAAAAACTCAACATTGTTTTAGTATGAACATTAATTACACCCATCTTGATATCATAGTTTTTAAATTTATTGATATTTATTACATCCATCCAAGTGAGAATTAGAGCTAAGCTTAGCTACCCATATTTTCAAACTACGGTAGTGTTAACTTGAACGACCAAAGGGCTCCTAACCTGATAACAGCCACTAGACCACATAATAAAACCAAAATCATATCTTCCTTGAGATACTTTTAGTGGTTTTAGTGTCACATAGTAGGTTTTTTCTTGATTGAAATACAAGAATCTCAAGTGTAGGGGCCAAACCTCAACCTCAACCCCATTTGGGCTCACAATGCTAACATTGTAAGTAGTTTGCTTGGTATGTCCCACATTGCGAACGGTCCTTTTGATCGTTGTTGGACCTTTGAGGTTCGAAACGGATATCGATGGGTAATTTAAGTCCCAATCATGCTTGCGTTGGGGACCAGAACATGTTCTCGGGCATTTACTATGTGGTTTGCAGTTGACCATGGCCTGTATTTGTTTGTCGGTATACCCATTGTTGCAGAGGAAAATGAAGTAATCACGAGTAGACATGTCGTACACTAGTCCTGGATGAAATGCCCTTAATGGGTTTATGTAGCCAGCACCAATGTCAAAAGGATTCGAAGCTGCCGTTGATCCCTGTACTAATATGGCATCACCACTTACGTCCGTGTTATAAGCTGATGACAACATGAAAACGACAATAGTATTAGCATATGTGAGAAAAATGTAACGTTGCGAGTATAGAGGAACTTATTTTGGAAATAATTCCCATGCTACATTTTTCAAAAATCTTGCTTATTTATTTGGAAAAATTACTTGTAAGTATTTTTTTTCGTAAGATAGTGATTGAGATCAAGCGTATTCTATTAATCACCGGTAGTCATGATGGCAGATCTAATTGCTGCAGGCGACCAATTTGGATGCGCAGATTTGACGAGGGCAACGACACCCGACACATGGGGACAAGCCATTGATGTCCCTGAATAGAAGTTCCACTCAACGGACCTATCATCAATATATTTGAATTCTGATGGAGCAATGTTTGGAGGCCATGCTGCTAATATGTTGGTTCCTGGAGCACTAATGTCTGGCTGCACCAAATAAAAAAAAAACATGGATTAGTGAGGGGTAGTGAAAAACTTTACGAAACGTGAGAGTTAATTTTACCTTAAGAATATTAGGGGAAACCGAGCTTGGACCTCTTGAAGAATATCTGGAAACCACAGGTGCCGGCGACCGATTGAAAGCTGTTTCACTTGGTACTATTTGCACCATGGCAAAGCTTCGAATCCAATGTTGTCAATTTTAGTTACTAATAATATTATTGATCGACACTTTGTGTTTTTAAATTGTAACTATTAGAGACTGACTTGGAATGTTGAAACAATGTTTTCCCTTGGATAACGTCTATACGTACAACCGGGATTATGCTTGCCACGGCAAGTGGCCATGTCATTGCCTGGACAAATATAAGTGCTGAGGCATTGGCTTTATAGGCTGCATACTCTGCGTCATCACTTTCCAACTTTCCGTCTGTAGCGTAGCACAACAGTATCTTGCCTGAAGCATCTCTGTTTCTCCAGTTCTGTATATTACATATCCTAAGGCATACAAACATAAAGTATAAATATTTGTTCCTTTTTTTTTTTTCTATTTTGGTGTGTGCGCTCTGATCTAAGGAGGGTGAAGTTACATACCCATTGTAGAAGTAATATATAGCTCTTGCCAGGAGTCCACTTATAGTGAAATGATTGAAAATGGATTAATTACCACAAAGGAAACCCCATCTTCCATGAGAATTGTGGTGGGAAAACTCCGATCCATAGTCGAGGCACCCACACAAATGCTCCACGGGTTGACATTTGCCACAAGAGCAGGGTCGGGCCCAGAATTTCCAGCCGAAAACACCACGCTCACACCATTCTGCGTCGCGTGAAACGAGCCGATATCTATGCTGAGCGCCACAAACTCCATCAGAGGCGGCTCCTTACTTATGGATGCCGAGATGACGTGGACCCCATCGTGCACCGCATCGTCGAAAGCCGCCAGCACATCCTCCTCCGTGCACACTGGCCCATAGTCGACATTCCAGCAGGCCTTGTACACCGCCAGCCTGGCCTTGGGGGCCCCACCACGCGCGAGGCCCTGCCCGAACCCCATGAAGCTCGCGCCGTCGGATCGCGATCCTACGGCAGTGGAGGCCGTGTGGGTCCCGTGCCCAACAGAGTCGCGAGCAGACCTGTATTCTCTCGTCTTGTTGTTGATCGGCCAGAACCTCCTCTCGAAGCCTGCAAGGTAGTACCGGGCACCGATCAGCTTCCTGTTGCATACCTTTCTGGGGTCGAAATTTTGCCCGGCTACGCATTTTCCCTTGAAAGACTTTGGTATGGGCCGCGTGTCGAGCTCCTCTTTGAAACTAGCAGATTCTGGCCATACGCCTTTCATCATCGCAAAAATCCAATAACAATAACAGGCTGTGTTTGTTAAAAGGAAAAAACTCAAACCAAATTAATTCTACTTAAAATCTGACTCAACTTTAACTCAACATCACTATCATCAATATAATTAAATAATAACAACCAGTCATTTTTGCACATCATATCAACTTTAATTCACTATCCATCCACTCACATAATTTTAATTAACCATCACTTCATATCATCTCTTTCCTACTTTTACGTCAAATCAATTTTAATTATTTTATTTTAAATATTATGTTACTATGACTCAAAAAATTCACTTTGAGTTAATTCGCTCAACAAACACACCCTTACTTACTCTGGAACACCTTTCACTTCCGAGCAAAATTTTTGCATGTGTGTATAAAATGTACATATACCTGAGTCAATGACCCCAACAACTACATCTTCACCATGACTTAGCTGTATAGGAGTTCCTTTGGAGCTGTCGAGTGAGAGACCCATGAAATCCCAGCTTCTTGTAGTCTGCAACTTGAGTACACCGCTTTCGAAAACAGATATCACGCCTCGAGTATCTGCATATCCATTAGCTTCATCAATTACAATGTATCATCAGGTATATACATAATTTTTATTTTTATTTTATTTTTTTCTCGCCCTTGAGAATAACATCAGAGCCAAATTTAAAAGGAACCGTGCACAATGGGTTAAAGCTAAGGCTTTATTACTTGCTAAGACGTTTGCTTGGGTAGAATTAAGCACTGCAGCAAAACCTGAAAAGGAATGCTTGTAGCTATGGATCATAGCCTGTGTTGCTTCTTCTTCGCTACAAAATGAAGTCGAGAATAACAAAATTTCATGATTAAAAAAAAAAAAAAGGAAAAGAAAAATTCAGAGTCAATATGCCCTGTCAAGCAAGCATACATGGATCACTGACTTTCATCTGCTATAGCATGTATCTAATATACGGTCGACCTACTGAATCAATTTTCCTTTTGCGCTCGATGTGGATTTTCTGAATCTTTAATCTCATCAACTATTCACATGTATAACCATTTGCCTAATAAAAATAATTCATAAAATGGATAAATAAACAGAGTCTTTACATAAGTACATAGGCATTAAATTTTAGGAATCAAGTGATTTGGTGCACATATAGCCACATTCCCACATAGAAATATCGAACTCCCATATTTGATGTGTCATTTTTTCTGCAGTTAGTCACCAAAAAACTTAAAACTAATGTTGAGTAAGAGACGAGAACTCACCTCTCAAATACACTAGTAAGGAGTTGAACATGATACTCAGACGCAGCAAGTAAATGATCTTCAAGATTATGAGTGTGCCCCAAGTATACAATGTAAACCTACAAGAAAAAAAAAAGAAAAAGAAAAAAAAAACACTCTTTGTAAGAAGCACGAAATGATCTTACAGAGATTTTTTGTTACTTTAGGAACAAAAAGAAAGAACATTGTATACAGGGGACAAGGTAATAAACCTGACAAGAGGAAATAGTCAAAGAAACAAAACATTCAAGTAAAAATGTGAGGAATAATAAGCCCCAAAAACACGACACTGCATTCGCCATTTTTCTTGATGAGCAAAAGCATGGAATCTTTACATTCACTTATATAGGGATCAAATGTTATTAAATCTCTCTCTCTCTCTCTCTCTCTCTCTCTCTCTTAAATCTTTGTCCTACTCCTAGCTGCAGATATATTTCTATCTTGATTTGATTCTATTGAAAAGGAGGATAAAGGAAACGATAATAGGCTATAAAACTAATAATGAATTTAACTATTACAATCCCACATGTAAAAGATCATAAGATTGTACCATATCATCTCCATTGTCCTTTTCCTTAGAAGAAAAACTTTCAATTTTAGGTTGTCAATATCTCACTGATAGTGTAGCTTTTCATGCTCAACGCAAATTTTCAACTCCAGAAACAAAAAAATATCATAACTTGTGTCTATTTGAGATGCCGAGCGAGACGCATAAAGCTTTGCGTCAGTACCTTCTTTTCTTTTTAAATTTTTTAAAAAGTCACCTTTTTGTTCTTTTTTATATAATTCATCCGAAGTTAATTTGTGAGTTGTAAGGGAATATTAAAAGTGTAGAATTATATATTTTTTTGGATTATTTATATTATTATGCATATATTTGCATTTTAATTTTCTATCTTCAACAAGCTTTTCAGATTAATTAAATGTTAGTATCTATTTAATCCATTATAAGAGAAATAATCTATTTAGACGTTTGTGTCTATTTAAATTATTCGAATTTTGAATAATCATTATCTATGTATATATAATTACTAGCTAATAACATTTAATAAAACTTATTTAATTTTACCTATGTGGCAATTTAACAATTTTCCCTCCAAAAACCGTTACATTTTTATGTATTTAATCTTTCATTTAATCATTAAATAATTAATACTCATCACTTCAAAATTACAAAAATTATTTTAAACTTTTGATTAATGACAGTTAACCATATAATGTGTTGACCGTATAATGTGATTAGATGTTATTATTGTTGTTACATTTAATTTTTTTTAAATAAAAAATATATTTAAAATTCCTAAATAAATAATAAATAATTCACAAATAGAAGACGTACCAAAATATACATTACATCCAATCAGATAAACGCAATTTAAAAAAAAATATTACAACTTTTTTAATTGTAAATTTGGTCTGCAAAAAAGTGAAAGAAAAATAATTAATCATTATATGCATACAGACTCACAATAATTTATTTATATCTGTGCAAATGCACAGGTCGAATACTAGTCTACTTGAAATTCACCCATTTATTTTATTTAGCAAATCGTCGCTAGCCATTTTCGTATTCAATTCTATAGCCCTTTTAAGTTATTTCGTTCGGCCAAATCAAACTTATTTTTTTGGACTCAATTGCAATAGAGTCTCGGCCCAAGAGTTAACATATTTCCAGCCTAAACATTTAAACAGCCGCCCAATTGTCGTAATAAATTTCCACACTTGCTAAATTATTTTGTTTTGATTAGTAGATTACCAATATATTCACCACCCAAAAAAATCTCTATGAGAATGGATCATATGAGAATGATTCTTAATGCGAGAAATAAGAATGGATCTCCACCATGGGATCAATCATATTAATGGTTAAGATCAAGTCAAATCTGATTATGTGGCAGTCAATCATTACTGGCATTTTCGTAAATAATTGTTGTTAGCATGGTCAAATCTAAGTATTGACCACTAACCAATGATAAATGTGACATTACACAAATGTGGGCCCCACCACTATCTCCATTACCTTATCTCTCTTCCTCACACATTAACACAAACTCACACGGTCACACCTGCACACACACACTGTCACACACACATAACACGCACACACGCATACACACACACTCCGGCAGGCTCTCGCCGCCGACCATCACAGCCCCGCCGCCCGGCCTTTTAAGCGCCACCGCCCGACCACAACCATGACGCCGCCCGGACATCAAATCGCCGCCGCCGGACTGGCCTTCCAAACAATCGTCGCCTGGCCGTCCAAGCTCCACCGCCCGTCCATCAATGTCACCGACAACGTCCAGCACTGGAGAACTCAGCTCCACCGTTGACCACCCTTGAAGCGGCCAACGGGAGCTCCGCCGTCGATCATGGAGTTTGGCGCTGCCGCACAGCAAACACTCGCCTCCCGCCGCTGCCATTGGGTAACCGGCCGCCACCGACTTCCGCAGTCAGCTCATAAGTCGCCGCCGTCTTCATCTGCCGAAAATTCAGTCGCGTTGCTCCTCCGTGTAGTCGCCGGAAATCGCCCTCGGAGACGAACCAGACAATCTCTTCTACATCATCGTCGAACTGCTTGAACGGAATACCTGCTCGTGTTGGAGGAGGAGGTCACTGGCCAGAGACGACGAAGACACCGAAGTCGCCGGAGATACAAATTCAGGACAAGGTCAGCCCATCAAAATTGAAAGTGAAAAATTATGAAATTGACAACCGGAGAGGGGTTAGTAGGGAAAACAACGGCCGAGAGGTTCACCGGCGGCTCAGACGCAACTACCGACGACCAGAGATCCATCAACTAGTTTAGACGAGCGTGAGTTTTGATGGAGAAGAGTCTGTTGCGTGTTGGAGTTTTAATTGATTGTGGGGCTCTCAAATGAAAATTAGATAATCCTTAGGGTCTATTTTGCAATTTATAAACTTTTAATGTATGTGTATTTTATTACTTGAATGTAATTTATAATTTAATGAAATTAATTTTTAAATAATAATTACACATTAGATGCACAATATTTTGTGTAGGTGCGCACTTTAAAAAATAATGTCATATGTGTACAAAATTATTATACAAAAATTGATAAATATGTAATTTGTTTTATAAGTGAATTGCGCAATATTATGTATAAATACGCACTTTAAATGTAAAAACAATTAATCAAAATAAAATTTAAAATCTTGAATTTAAAATTTCAAAATAATTGGTTTAATCAAAATGAAATTTAAAATTTCAAAATAATTGGTTTAATTTATCGGTTACCATGAATAATCAAAATAATCGACATAAGTTACATTATTTATTATAAAAAAACGTGAATAATCAAAATAATCGACATAAATTACATTATTTAATATTTTTTACTTAATATTTTATTTTATTTCTTGATTAAACATATTAGTATAGATGTAAACGAAATATACTGTGCAATGTAATAATTATTAAGGTGTAATTCGTCCAACAATATGGTGCACGGTGTCAATATGTATTGTGCATACAGAACCAAGCGAACTTTGGTCCTAATCAAATTGATGATAAACATAATTAATTGGTTTATTCGTTTTGATTAACCGAATTATTGTAAATTATCGAAATAATTTGTTATTTATGTTAAAATTATACTTAACATGTTAATAATTTTATTTATTATTTTTATATTTTTTTTTGGTTGGAAAAGAAAAACAAAATTTGAGTTCAGTTGGTTCCATTCGCTATTCGGGCGATCTTATAGTTGTGATAAGGTGCAGGTTGTTATTTTATAAAGTGCAACATGTTGATGTATAAAGAGCAACATGTTAATGTATAAAGTGCAACACTGCTGTAATTTCGGTATGTTACCATGCTATGTGTTTTATGTAGACAAATGATGTAATAGATGCTAAAATATTATGTAAATCTATTTTTTAGATTTATGTTGTGTGGTATTTTGTAAACATAATTAATTGGTTTATTCTCTATGGTTAACCGAATTATTATAAATTATCGATATAATTTGTTATTTATTTTAAAATTATATTTAACATGGTAATAATTTTATTTATTATTTTTATGTTATTTTTGGTTGGAAAAGAAAAACAAAAATTGAGTTCGGTTGGTTCTATTCGCTATTCGGGCGATCTTATAGTCGTGATAAAGTGCAGTGTGATATTTTTATAAAGTGCAACATGTTGATGTATATAGTGCAACATATTGATGTATAAAGTGCAAAATGTTGATGTATAAAGTGCACTACTGTAATTTCAGTATGTTATCATGCTTTGTGTTTTATGTGGACAAATGATGTGATAGATGTTAGAATATTATGTAGATCCATTTTTTAGATTTATGTTGTGTGTTATTTTGGTGCGAACTATTAACGCTAATTGTGGACTATGATGATAAAATATAGATTGTTGTTTTATAAAGTGCAATATGTTGTTTTATAAAGTGCAATGCGTTATTCTATAAAGTGCAATAATTTATACGAACTTGGATAAATTATGTGTATTCAAAAAATAGTTTTAATAGATAAAATTGTACCTCGAATTAACCTAAATACATAAAATTGTACATCGAATTAACCTAAATGAATTACTTTTATTATTCGAAGGATTAACTGAACCAACTTAAATAATATAAATGATTTACCATTTATAAATTGATATCATATCGTATTAGCCAAAATCTTAAAATTTTTGAAAATATATATTTTTTTACGGTAATGTTCACGTACATTCGTTCTGACACTGTAGTGCAATATGACGATCAATAACGTGTATTTCGTTTAATAACACCGTGCATTCGATCGCATATATATATATATATATATATATATATATGCAAATACAAAATAAAACTGAATCAATTTCTGAATATATATCTAAATAATCAAAATATTTATTATTTATATTGTAAAAATTAAATTATTATTACTTCAAAAATCTTATTTATTATATTGTTTTATTCATTTATATATTGTTTTATTCATATAGGGCTTGGCGTATATAAGAACCTTCTTTCAAAATAATGATAATTTGTATATACTAAAAGTTAAAACTTTTCTAAATTACAAATTAGGCACATGGGTTAAATTGAATACAAACAACTTTTATCAAATTTGCAACTAAGTCCCTGAATAATATCAAATTCTCAAAATTAAAACCCCACAAATCCCCCTACCCTTTTCTCTCCCGCCGCTCAGCCACCTCACCAAACTTTTCAGACGACGGCGCCGTCGCATTAGACCCAGCCGATATGGCCGGTTCACCTCTCCTCGCGCCGGACGTCGCCCCCCCCCCCCNCCCCCCCCCCCCCTTCCGCAGTCGGCGACCGATGACGTTGGGAACGCCGCCGCCGCGACGTCGGACAACGGATAGTTCTCTGTTGGTCAGTGGACAATGACTGGTGGCGGATTTCATGGCAGTGGTCGAGCTTCCATTCTCCGACGTTCTTGCCGTCGCCGATGGCGGCGATCTGCAGATGTTCGGAGGTTGGTGGAGGTCGCCGGCGGATGTTTGAAGGCCGCGACCGGCGGTGTGCAATCTGTGCGTGTGTGTGTGTGAGAGCCGGCGGGAGTCTGAAGGGGCGTGACCGGCGATCTGGAATCTATGCGCGTGTGTGTGAGAGTAGTGTGTGTGCGTGTGTTTTATTTGTGTGTGCGTGTGTGCTGAACGTGTGTGTCGTGTGTTATAGGTGTGTGTGCGTGTGTTGTGTGTGTATTAGGTATATGGGGTTGATGTGGCATGTGGATGATGATGTGTAATATAATGACTAAAATACCCTTAATGAAGGTATAGATTTGACTTTTTTATTAGTCATTAGATCATCCGATCCAATGGCTAAAATTTATTCTCATTTTCTCGCATTAAGCACCATTCTCATGTGAGCGCGACCCTATATATATATATATATGGTCATCCTTAAATTACCTACCCAATTTAAAACTCTCCAAATCACTTTTTTTTTCCTTCTTCTTATCACACGTTTGGTGACAAATTTCAAATTGAGAGTTTAAATTTTTAGTATCACCTCATTAGAGAGCTTAATTGATGTATATTGATTTTTGGATCATTATTCTTATTATTTTCCTTCTCTTAAACCCAGTTTCAATTCCCTATATATCAAACTAGTGCGGTATCAGTGTGATGTACGGGCTAATTTTATTAAGGTAAGCATTTAGATTTGGATGATTGGAAGAACTTAAAACGCATGTATTTGAATAAAACAAAATGTAACTTATATATTATTAAACATACATAACATTATTTGTTTGGTCTTTTGGTACATCGTCTATCGCCACAATATTATACTAGGATTCTAGATCGACTTAAATAAATCAATTAAATTATTTAGCAAGATATATATGGTATTTTGTAAGTGTATGCAATCAACTTCAAATTTGTATTCTAAACGATTAAACAAAACCCAAATTTTTAGGATGTTCTAATCCGATTTCATTTTGAATTTCAATCTAATATTATCTGACTCTGTTTTATGTTTAAAAAAAATCCGAACTAAAGAAAGTAGTAGCCAAACTATTAGGGATTTTTAATTTAATTTTCAATTTGAAATTGGGCCCAATTTCTATGCAATCCGATTTTTTTTAATAAACATGATCTGTTGTAATTAGGTAAAGATATATGTTATAGTATTTTTCCTAATTCAAAAATTCCGATTTTATGGTAAACAAATTTTTTTTAATAAAAAATGAGAGAATTTTGACTTTTACAAAATTGTCATTCCGAATTTTACCTAAATTAACCCGATTACTATGCAATCCGATTTTTTTAATAAACAGTTGTTCAGTTGTAATTAGTAAAAGATATATGTGATAGTATTTTGCCTAATTTAAAATTACCGATTTTATAGTAATCAGTTTTTTTAAATAAAAAATGAAAAAGAATTTTGACTTTTGCAAAATTGTAAGCATCAGTCGAAATTTACCTAAATTAAATCCACAAAACCCATGAATTTAGGGTGCATATATAGCTGATCGATTTTTTGGGAATAATTTAAAAAATAATTCAAAAATTGTCAAAAATAGAATGCAATAAAATGTTGGTTAATTTTTCTTGTTACTATTTTTGGTAAGTAGGTTGGCTCTTTATATATAGATAGATATAGATATAAATAGATTAATCAGGGCATGATTCAAAAGTAATTCAAATGGAATCAGTTAGACCTTTGCAAACTAATTCCTAATTTTCAGGGATTGGACAGAGGATATTAATGCAAATCATGTTGGGTCCTATTAGGAATGTCGGCTATGTGCACATTCAAATCTATTAAAAAATAAATCCTAACGCAGTGGAATCTATAGTTAGGATTAGGACTTACGGTTTAAAATTTTTGCCGACTCTGAGACGTTCCTAAGTTCCTCTGTAGGAGATTGTCTGAACCGTAGGGTCCGTTGGGCTACCCGACTTGGCCTCATTAATGTATCTATGGTTGCTCATTGGGCTCGTCGGGTTGTCTCGCACGTTCGGTAGGTTAGTCGAACCGCTCGGGAACCGCCTTGGGCACAAACCGGGGCTTCTAGACCAAGTTGAACTGGTTTGGTACGAGCTGGGCCGGATCTGCTCGAGCTGGCTTCGCTGGACCGCATTTGGGCAGTTCAATGTGCGTTGGACTGATCGCTGGGTCGCCAGGAGCCATTGGGCCGCGCTGGCGTCGAGGATGGGCCGCTCACAATGGGCATGTTGGGTTTTATTAGGAACGACAACAACATGCACGTTTGAATTTGGCAAAATAAACCCTAAAGCACCGAAATCTATAGTTAGGGTTAGGACATTACCGTTTAAAAATTTTGCCGACTCTGAGACGTTTCTGATTTCTTTGATGGAGATCGTCTGATTACCAGAATCCGATGGGCTGATGGATCTGGCCTTTCTTGATTCTGATCGAGTCGTGGAATCACGAACAGATTACCGGATCGGGATCGTCGGGCTCGGGCCGGTCGAATCGGGTTCGATTCGTCGGGTTAACTCGGTCGGACCCGAGATGACTCAGCCGAACTCAGTTGGGCTCGACGTCTCGGTCTGGCCTGGCGCTGGTCGCGAACGCGCGTCAGGTGGTTGGGACGCGTGGACAAGTGGACGGACGCGGGCAGGCTCTGGATCCTCGGGCGCGTGCGGTGCGGGTCTCCTATGTCGACGCAGACTGGTCCTCGGGCGTGTGGAACCATGCGGGCGTGCTCCGTACGTATCCTATGCGTGCGCGGACTGAGGCGCACGTGCTTCTCGCGCTGGGAGCGAGGCGCGACGAACACGGGCGGTGGCGATGCACGAGCAGGCATTCGGGGCTGGTGTCTCGCGCGGGNGGGATTGCGTGCCACGACTGGCTGCCTCACGGTTGCGTGCGGCTGGGCACTGGCGGGGTTCCGGCGGCGACGACGATTTTCCGGCGGCTATCGGCGGCGTTGGACGGCGGCGTTCGACGGTGGTAGGTGGACGGAAAAATTAGATCTTCAAGGTTTGAATAAATTGCACCTTAAGATCTTCTGATGTATTACCTTAACACCTAGTTCGACTAATCTTGGTCGTGCGATTAATCGAATCTCTCGAACTCCCGAATATATTATGAAACTCGATTTTTCTCTCTTAAAAGACCTAAAAATCGATTCTCACATGTATGTGGGGAAAAAGGTTGGGACATTGTATATTTATAGGCTACATTAGGGGCCTTAAGGAGGTGCTAAATATGGGCTTACCCTATTAGGCTTAGGAATCCTAATCATGCGAGAAATTCTATGGCGCCCATGCGGGCGCCATAAGCCATGCCACAATCTGATGTGGCATATGAGGCGGCTTTTATTAATTATAATTATCTTTTCCTATATAGCACAAATTAAACAAGATTTCTACATCAATAATAATTAAGGTGCAAGAAAACTTCTACAGATCCAATACGGCGGCAATCTGCAACCACTCCAATATCTTGATCTACTCCGCCAATACCGACTACGAGAGAAAGGTATTTGCAAAGCTTCCTCCTCATTGTGCATAGATACAAAGATTTAAACGGCTGATATTTGATAGAAGCCTAGCACATGGGTTTTTGATACACTTTGATAAGAAATATCTTCATCTTCTACCTCTATACACAAAATTATTTAATAAGAAATACCTTGATCATCTATCTCTGTACACAAAAATATAAAAATTAGAGGGATAAGAAAAAACCTTCTTCTTTTTCAAGAAGTATCTTGAGCGGACATGAGTCTTATGGTTAATGGACATATGATGGTTACAAAAAGGATATGTTATTTCGGAATGTGTTTATCTGAATTATGCTACCTTCAAATTTAATACTTGATTTTTTTTATCAAAAATCCTGTTAGATTAAAACGAGTTTATTTTGATTTAATCATAGTTTTATATTATTATTATTACTTTTTTTTTCTTGCACTCAGCTTGTCTAATATTGTTACATTTATTAAAACAAAATCATATTATTACAAACAAAAAAAACTTATGATCTGTTCCAAACAGAAACCCATGTTTCTATATGCTCTTCCTTATTGTGGTATATAACTTCAACAAAAATTCTATGGAGCAATCGAATGGTTTTTATATGAAGCCGTCCACCACTTAATGTATTGACACCTATCTAAATTGTATTTATTGCAGGACACGTGTCAATACACTATTGGTGAATAAGTATGGATTGCTCCATAAGTCGAGCCATTCGATGACTCCACAGCAAAACTGATAACTTCAATTATAAATCTTGTTTTTCCAGTTCGTTTTTTCCCATTTTTTTTCACATATTCATATCCCAATTTGTTCTGTGTCTCTAGGCATTTGCAGTTGATTGGAGTCTAGATGGTGAGAAAGTAGCATCTGGAGGCTAGAATAATGTTTTGAAGTTATGTATGGGATAAGGTAACCTTGGTCACTTGAATGGCTATGTGCACAGCTTACGTTTATATTAATGATGTGAAGTGAGATGGAAATATGCCGTGTAATATGAAGTACTGTGTCTGCAAACTTTGTTTTGTTATATTTTTATTATCATTACTAGTGGTGGAGAATTGAAATAATCAAAAGTATTATTGGGTTTCTTCAGCTATACATTGATCCTAAGATTAGTCGGATTCATTTAATGCATTTGACACCTGCACAGGTTACTAATACTACAAAATCCCAAGAGATACGAATGTGTAATACACAAAACTTCATTTCCACTGGCCACAGAACACCCATCACAACCATGATAATCCAACAGTCACACCTCAAAACTCATTCAAATGTCAGAAGGATTATGAACAATTACAGAACTCATTGACGAAAATGGGCAACAAATACAGACTTCATTTCCCCCAAACCATAAGAAAAAACTCACATACAATTCTTCAAAGAATTTTCAGCGATGGTCGTCACGCCCCCACGCGCAACTCACGACTAATATAATCCCACCAAAAACCCCCGCCTTTATCAAGGAGCTTATAATGTCCCACGACCTCAAAGCCCATTTAGCCGAATTAAAGGTTATATTAATGCTCGACGCCATACCCACCATATGTCCATTAATGACATTTTCTTTTGAAAATATCTCATACGTGTTGCTGTTGTTGGACAGGTAACGTCGGCCCATATCCTCTGACGTCTTGCATATTATACATCACTTTCGAACTTTACATATTAACGTTGCTAGCAATTTCCACAGCCACAGGGACTTGTTCGTTGATTTGGTTGTCTTTCGAAGGGAGTTGTCAAGGCAGGGGAATATCCCTTATTTCTTTGGCCTGTTTTGGTACAAAAAATAAATCTATCAGGGGTTGAGATCCCCTCCAGCGACAAGCCTCGCCCCTGAATTTCCTCTTCTTGCAATTAGACCGTTTGCCCCCGACTTTTGCGGTGAACTCGGTGCTAGTCGTCCTGATTCTTTCGTTTCTTGGCACGAGTAGAATATGGATTTAGATCATAGTGGATGTAACCTGACCCGTGGATGTGGTACAAGCCTCTGAGTAGGGACCGTGTGTGCACCTTCACCTCGATTTCTGACAGCCCTCGGCCGCCAAAATGAGTAACAGGAGATACACGTTGCAATAATATGAGGGGACGACACTTTTCCAGGCGAGGTAGACCAGAACGGTTGCGCTTGTCGATGGACGTGTAGTGTCCATGGCAGTGGGTGAGGTCGAAGCTGGATTTGGGGAAACCAGTTATGAGTAACGGCACCTTAATTATTATTGATGTGGAAATCTTGTTTAATGTGTGCCACATAGGAAAAGATAATTATAATTAATAAAAGCTACCTCGTATGCCACATCAGATTGTGGCATGACTTATGGCGTCCGTATGGACGTCATAGAATTTCTGCATATTTTACCCTTTAAAAGAAATACCACGCAAGAAACTAAAATAAACCAAAGTGATAAAAAAGTTGCTTGGATATAATTTTTTTTGTATTTGATTGGATTTCTTGATTTGGTTTGTTAATTTTGAAAAAAAATGTATGGTTAGTTGTTACTGAGTATATTAAAATAATATTTAAAATAAAATAATTAAAGTTGATTTGATGTAAAAGTAAGAGAGAGATGATTTGAAGTGATGGTTAATTAAAATTATGTGAGTGGATGAATAGTGAATTAAAGTTGATCTGATGTGTAAGAATGATTGGTTGATATTATTTAATTATATTGATAATATTGATTATAGTGAGGTTGAGTTCAAGTTGAGTTAAAAAAGTAGTTGAGTTAGAGATATTTGGATTTTTTTCAGTTAGATTTGTATCCAAGCATCCTCGACGGACGGATTCTGCCGCTGCAGGAGTTAATCAATGACTTCGATTTGTCGTAAAGGGCTCGCCGAATTTTCTACCTGTTCGATTTTTGGAAAAGGAAAGGCGGGGTTTCTGCTTCTTCCGTTCATGAATTTTCCAGTCGGTTTCGGATTTATCCAATCGGAGCCGCTCGCCGGATGAGCACGTTGGCCGATACCGGGATTTCAGATCCCACAGAACAAAAGATTGCATCTTTAGCATCTCCTTGGTTGATGCTACCCCCCGTCTTCGAAGGCGGCCCCAACTCCGCCCCAACCATGTGTCACAAGTTCTACAGCCTCACGGAAGATAGAGTCCTGTCTACGGGCGCGAAAAAGGATTTCATGGGAGAAATCATGGAAATTGTGGGCTCCTCTCACGGCTGGCTTTCCTTCCTCAACCCCAACACCCGAGAAATGTTCCTCCACAACCCCATCTCCAGCAGCTACCTAAAGCTTCCCCAATTCACAACCTGCCAGCTGTCTCCCCTAACAGCCCAATGCATGTGTGTAAGGTATTCTATCATGCCCCCCGGACGATGATGATGAACAAAATTGCCGTGCCATCATGACTTACAATTGCCCATTTGCCATGGCCTACTCCTGCCCTAAGTCCAGCAACGAGTGGACCTGTATTGTGGATACCAATGTCGATTTACGGTACAAGAATTGTGTACAACAACAACAACATAACCTTTTAGTCCCAAGCAAGTTGGGGTAGGCTAGAGATGAAACCCAAGAGAACCAATGGTAAGAGAAACACAAAAAAGGCTCAAAATGAAAGGAAGAGATTGGAGCAAAAGAGAAAGAAGCAAAAGTCACGGTTCTGGCACGTTGATTGCTAGCCTCCAAGCGCTCCTATCCACCGCTAAATCCTTGGAGATATTTCAATCTCTAAGGTCTCTCTTAACCGAATCTTCCCAAGTGAGTTGAGACCGACCACTACCTCTCTTTACATCATCGACCCGCTGTAGAACTCCCCTACGCACCGGTGCATCAGGAGGCCTCCGTTGGACATGTTCGAACCACCTCAGCCGATGTTGAACCAATTTCTCCTCAATTGGAGCCATCCCGACCCTATCTCGAATATCCTCATTCCGGATTCTATCTCTTCTTGTGTGCCCGCAGAACCAACGCAACATATGCATCTCTGTTACACTTAGTTGTTGGACATGTTCCTTTTTGTAGGCCAACATTCAGCACCGTATAGCATCGCCGGGCGAATCGCCGTCCTATAGAACTTACCTTTTAGCCTTTGTGGCACCTTTTTATCACAGAGAATGCCCGAAGCTTGACGCTATTTCAACCAACCGACTGCAAATCTATGCCTAACATCAACATCAATGCCGCCATCCTTTTATAGCATCGATCCTAAATACCGGAAAGTCTCCATCTTGGCCACCACTTGCCCGTCAAGGCTAACGTCACCATCATCATGTGTAGCCATGCTGAAAGCACACGTCATGTACTCGGTCTTCGTCCTACTAAGAATTGTGTATATTCCGAAAAACACCAACTCTTGTTTGCCCTCATCTGGTCTTATGAGTTACTGTCTTAGGACCTTGGGGACCCTCTGTCCCCGAGTCTCGTTGACTGCCGGAAAATGGATTTTCCAAAGACCGAAGAGGAATATAATTCTTTAAACAAGTGGGAATTTCGTTACACAAAACACAACAAATTATAGAAATACGATAGCAAACCGAATATAAATAGAAATACGATGGCAACGGCAGCGTTGCAATGTAGTTATTTTTATGGAGTTCATCCAAAAGAATTATTCTCCGAGCCGTATATCAAAGAAGGCTAGTCGAATTGTTTCGTTCTTCTATTCTAACTCACAAAGAGAAAATAGAGTCATAAACACTCTAATTCATATTAATTTGGAGCTTGTTTTAACAACTACTGATCCAAAGAAATTTAAACACTTGAATCTTCAATTTTTCAGACAAAAAATATATATTGATAAAGAGGCTAAAAAGTTGGAGATAATCGTTTTTAGTTCCAAACGCAAATACCAAACAATTGATTATTTGGTTAAGAGGTTTGACTACCGTACTCGTCTTGAGCTTTCTCTTCAATAACTCTTCGTCACAAGAGAATAAACATAAACAGAAAATTTTCGAAAGAAATAACACTTAGACAATACAACTACGAACAAATCTACCCTATACGAGCCCGAATAAGTCCTCACCTTTCGGTTCTAAGAGTTATTTAAATAAAAAAAATTGTGATCAATCGACTAACCCTCGGAATCAAGCAACTCGCATAACATGAACAATTTAAAAATATGATAATCATAAGAACTCAACAGAAAATTCATTCAAACGTAATATTTTTGTTGGAACAATAATAGTATTGTAATATCCATTAGATTTGTTATTGGAATTCTATTAGAATATGTTTCCGTTGGAATTTCATCATTTTCTTTATTGTAGTGTACTTTATAAAATCTTATATTTTATAATATGGATTACATTTTCTTTTAAAGTTATTAGCATGGAATTTTCGCACACTGGTTTAGTAGATTGGACAAAGCCTAATGCCATGGAGGGCTATATATATATATATATATAGGGGGCGGATCAAATGGAACCAGCTCTTAAAATGCGTCCAGCTCTTAAAATGCGAACAGCTTTTAGCAACTATAGACAACTAACCTAGCAACTACAGAGAACTAACCTAGCAACTACAAAGAACTAACCTAGCACTACTAACCTAACAACTACAGAGAACTAACATAGCAACTACTAACTTAGCAACTACAGAGAACTAACTTAGCAACTACAGAGAACTACCTAGCAACTACAGAGAACTAACCTATCAACTACAGACAACTAACCTAGCAACTTCATAGAACTAACCTAGCAACTACATAGAACTAACCTAGCAACTACTAACCTAGCAACTACAGACAACTAACCTAACAACTACAGAGAACTAGCCCAACAACTACATAGAATTAATCTAGTTGGAAGGTTAGTTGTCAACGGTCAACACCGAAAGTCAACGGTCAACGCCGGAAGTCAACGATCAATGCCGGAGTCAACGGGTCAAAATAATATTTAAATAATTAAAATAATAAAAAGAAAAGAGTAAATCTTGGCCACACATGATGTACCAAATCTTGTGGTTAAAAATGAATCTCACGTCCTCACTTTAAATAGGTGAATGCATTGAAATCAATCCCTATATATATATATATATATATATATTGTATGTAAGGATCAAATGGGGTAGGAAGAAGGAATGATAACGTGGATGGCAATTTTGGACAGGCGTAAAGAATGTAGAAAAGTGGGGGAAAATCACTATATCAATGCGCACGCCAAACAAAATGGAAGGAAGAAAAAGATGGAAAAGGATTGGTTGATTGATACTGGTGGTTATTGAAATGGCTGGCGCACTACCATATCCAACAGCTATACTAATTACTGAGTGTTTGAAATACTTTTTTTTTCTTCTTTTTTTGGGTTAAAAAAGAAAAGGTGAATTCTGCCTAGACAACAACCATCACCAAAGCTCTCTCTCTAAAACAGTAAAACCCTTTTCACATTCAGGAAGTTTTCTCCTTTTTTCCTTTTCCTTAGTTTGATGAATGGTGAGCAAGTTGCCGTTGTGCTGTTTCATTTTGTTTCGATAGTTTTACAATGGGAAATTGCTGTTGCGGATGGGAAAAGCCAGGTGATGAATGATTATGACTTTCTTCTGAACATTCCAATCATATGCATATGCTCGATTCCCTCTGTTATCGAGTTTGATAAACAATCCAAGTTTGTCAATAATTATTAATTTATTTATTAATTATTCATTTCATGTAGAATCTCCAAAAGCCCAAAGCAGTCCATCAGTGAAAGCCAAGAAGGAGAACAAGAAACTACCCTCAAATCCTGAAGAAGTCGAAGACCTTCGTCGGTGTATGTCAGCAAACCCGTTAACGGTTTTCGCGTTCGAAGAGCTAAAAACAATCACAGGAAATTTCAGACAAGATTATGTGTTGGGTGGAGGTGGATTTGGAAATGTGTACAAAGGATACATTTCTGAAGATTTACCTGTTGCTGTTAAGGTTCATGATGTAGATAACAGCTATCAAGGTCACAGGGAATGGCTGGTAAAATTTTCGGAACCAAAAAATTAATATGTTAAAAAAAAATTGCATGAGTCAATAACCATCTGTTTTTATTTTAATACTTTAATTTTAGGCAGAGGTAATATTTCTAGGGCAGCTTTCGCATCCGAATCTGGTGAAGCTGATTGGATATTGTTGTGAAGACGAACATCGAGTTCTGATATACGAGTACATGCCTCGTGGTAGTGTTGAAAACAATCTATTTTCTAGTAAGTAATATATGTAGTCAGCTTTTTTTTTNNNTTCTTTTCCAATTTCTTACTATTCTCAAATTTGCAAGATCCAATTTTGATTGGATACATGTAAAATGGTCTATTGTTTCTTCAACTGTTAGCCTTAAATTGCATCCATAAAGATCCTCATGAGTTCATTAGAGTTACTTAGATGTGTAAAAACTATTGCGTGCAGGGGTTTTGCTTCCACTTACTTGGTCGACTCGAATGAAGATAGCATTTGGTGCTGCAAAAGGACTTGCTTTTCTGCACGAAGCCCAGAAACCCGTCATTTATCGTGATTTCAAGACCTCCAACATATTATTGGACCAGGTTTGTTCGCGATCATCTCTCTAAAACTAATTCAGTTAAGTAAGTTCTGTAACAGTAAGAAAAAGAAAGATTTTTTTTTTTTTGCTACACAGGACTACAATGCGAAATTGTCGGATTTTGGCTTAGCTAAAGATGGACCGGAGGGCGACAAATCCCATGTTTCTACTCGAATTATGGGAACATATGGCTATGCGGCTCCGGAATACATAATGACAGGTATTTATTTTCGCCATCACTAATTACTCCCAAAATATAATAATATATAATAGTAGACCATAGGCCTATATATATAACTAAATTAAATTTGTGTTTTTGCATTCTTGTAACATTTTTGCTTCCAATCTCGATTTTGATAGGCCACCTAACGCCTAGGAGTGATGTGTATAGCTTTGGAGTGGTACTTGTGGAGCTTTTAACGGGCAGAAAGTCGTTGGACAGAACACGGCCAGTTCGCGAACAGAATCTTACGGATTGGGCAGTCCCCTTACTAAGAGAAAAGAAGAAAATGTTCAACATAGTTGATCCGAGACTCGGAGGTGATTATCCGAGCAAGGGTTTCCAGAAAGCTGCCATGCTGGCTTATCACTGCTTAAATCGTAACCCAAAGGCAAGGCCTCTGATGAGGGACATTGTAGATTCCCTTGAGCCTCTTCAGGTTCCTTTCGATGTTCCAACCGATAAGCCGGCTTTGATTCTTTGTAGCGAGGACTTTAAATCAGGATCCGTAAGCGAAAATACAAAGTATTAATTATGTTTCTTCATTTTGAGCATGTTTTGTTAATGACCAATCACACATTGAGGCAGTAAGGTAGCATATAGTATAAGTTTTGGAGAGTCCTAATCGAGCATGTAAAAGAGTATAATTCAACATTTTGTAATGATATATATTGGCACGGTTGGGACAATGTCCAACTGGAATCTGGGCTGGGCGCGAATGACTTGGCAATTCCTTTCCTTGGGGATGCTGACAGCATTGTTTCGGGCCACTTTCGGCCATCTTCCGGCTGTTGGAACGTACGCTCGTCTGAATGGCCGTACAGTTTATTGACCAAGTATTTTTAGTTTTTTTATTTTTTTTACTTTTTGGTCGATTAGTTTCATTTCTTATATATTTCGTACAGTTTATTGATCAAGTATTTTTAGTTTTTTTATTTTTAGTTTATTGATCAAGTATTTTTAGTTTTTTTATTTTTTACTTTTTGGTCGATTTGGTTCACTAGTATGGTCCCTTGCAGTGCACGGTTAAGAGATACTCATTAATATTTATAAATTAAAAATTCTTATTATATAATATTTATAAATTAAAAATATGGATCAATATGTAATACAATTTACCTATATTAATTTATTGAAAATATTATATAAAGTTTAATTGTGCAAAATTACATAAAAATGTCTATTTAAAATTAGTACACAACCCGTGTGGTGCACATAACTGATAATAAATTACATTATATTCGTTTAAAAATAAGTATCATTTCAAAAATTTTTATTCAGAAAATCGATTTGACTATATGTGATTCCATAAAATAGTTATTTTGGTAAAAGGTTATCATATATTTAACAACCTATGTGAATAATAAGTATAAATATAAAATATATATTGTTTCATTGCTTGAAATAATTTGTTATTGTATTAACTATTCAAATAAAAAAATTAAGTAGTTGAGTAATTTATTAAACTACAAATAATTGACTATTTCGTTTACGTCCAAGTTAATATTCACCCATAAGTTATAAATAATTATTTTTTATTTACAAATTTAAATAAAAATCTTTTTATTTTTTTTTCAATATATTAAATACCAAATTTAAACCATGCAACTAATAAAGGTAATAACTTTAAGTTTTGTCAATATATTATATTTCAAATTTAAATCATGCAACTAATAAAGGTAATAGCCGTAATATTTGACCAAAATGATTTTGTACATTAACTTAGGCGGGATTTTTCAAATTTCGGGAAAAAATATTACTCAATATAGTAAATACTTTAGGCGGGACACCAAATATTTTTTTGCTGATTTTTAGTTGCTATTTCAAGTAAATATCATTGCCTCTTTATATATTAATAGATTTCTTATATATTTCGTACAGTTTATCGACTAAGTATTTTTAGTTTTTTTTATTTTTTACTTTTTGGTCGATTAGGTTCATTTCTTATATATTTGAGAATAGGTATCCCTCATCTTACATTATATGGCATACATAAATTTAAAAAAATAATGTGGTTACCTCATAAATTGTCTAACATTCAAAACACTTATGATACTCTTACTTTAATTTAATTTGTGATATATTTATAGATTTCAAAATGTATATTTAATTTCAAATTCATGTATACTAAAATTAAAATTATTCAAAATGGGGCTATTAAATTAGAAGCGGACAAAAGTCGAACATTCAATCATCTCGCGGCCACCACCGCCAGGTGGATTTTAACAAATCATATATCGTTTCGAAACTCTCAACTCAAACTTTCAAGATGTTTAATTTCATCACGCAATACCTGAAACTTTGTTAAATTATTGTGAATTTTTTTAAGAGCTGAGTATTAAATTTTATCAGAGTGTCATCGGAGATCCGACAATTGGATTTTCATGAAGCATATATGTATAGAAAGTTCCTCTTATAAAGAGTCTAACACAAACTCTCGATAGTAGATTAGACTTTCCAATGGCTGAAAAAACACCGGTGGTGGTAGTGCAAATGACCTCGACCTGGTCTGACGTCCTTGAAATTACCTTCAAAACAGCGTCGGAGGTTGTCCCGTCGTAGAAACTCTCACACTCAAGTCAGTATTTGAGGAAGACGATGTAAACAGTGTATGTATGTATAGAATACTTAGAGAGTGTAGACATAAATTATTATACTTCACCCTTTTATATAGATGTGTTACTTTGCTGCACAAGACCTGTCGATCTGGCTGCCCAAGTGCCCGAGCTACCCGATCACACTACCTGTGTGCCCAAATTGATAAAAAATATTTTCTGACTCATGTAGTAAGTGTTTATTAACAAATGACAATATAATAAGATTATAAAGTACATTTCTAAAGATAAACTAATTGTTTTGCATAATTATAAAAATAAAAATAATATTTGAATAAAAATAATTGATTGATTATGCAATTGTATGATGATTCGATACCAGCATGCGTTACTACATAACCGAGATATTTTTCATAATAATTTTGTAGTATGTTATTCATAAGTTATTAAATATTAAAAACATATGGTGTTATGACGAAGAAGTGCTTTAAAAATAAAATATATTCTAATTTTATATATACAACCTAAGAGAAGTTGTTATATTATTATTTTATATATTGTCAAACAATTATTTATAATTCATTTTGAGTGATTTTGCAATAATCATTATAATTATACAAATTCCTAATGCTTTTGAAGAAAGCTTGTTTCCAAAAAAATATAAAATGCTAAAAAAGAAAAAAAATTACAGAAATTTCTTTATTAGTAAAAAAATTCTCCATTTTTTTTTCTTTTTTCTTTTTCTTTTTTTTTTAGTAACTAAAAGTGTTTAGTGAAAAATTAAATAAACTATTTTAAGTAAATGCCATACCTTTTTATATATACTAATATATGTGGTTCATGCGATGCACGGGAAAATAAAATTACGATTGTATTATAAATTAAACAAATAAATAACATAAAACATAATTTACCCATTGTTTTTAAAACGGGCAGACCGGACAGTTCGACTTGATGGACCGGGAGACGGTTTATCGACCTGCACGTGTCGCTTGAATAAAAAGTTTGCTTGAGAATCATCACCAGTCTGTCGGACTGGTAAGATCGATATGATTTTTTAAATAAACTTTTTTACATCTAAAATAAATTTTAATATAAATAAAAATATATATTTAATAAATTAGATATTTATAAATTATTTATCAAATAGTTTAATGTTGTAGTAATTTTTACCGGAGTTAATTCAAAAGAATTGATTCCCGGGTCGTATCGTAAGAAAGGCTAGCCGGATTATTTCGCACGATTATTTAAACACGAAAAGGGAAAATAATTGTTAAACATTGTAATCAAATTGGTTGTGTTTTGTTAAACAACTAAGAAATTTAAACAAAGTAATTACTCAATTAACAACTTTCAGCAAGTCTCAAATATTGGTACAGAAGCTAGAAAATCGGGGATAATCGTTCGTAAATCCAACGTAAATATCAAATCTTTAAATACACCAAATCCCCTAGCCTCCGTCACAACAATATTCTACACGCCTATTACACGTGAAGAACAAGAGTTCTTCTCTTGGAAAAAATTAGATAAAATCGAGAGGTCTTACGAGAAGAAAATCGAGAGGCTTTGGGAGTTCCGTTTAGTCGCTCCACCAAGACGATTCGGAGAAGGTGTAAAGGTCATACAACAGAAGATCACGAGGTTTTGGTTTTCGCATCCTGGTGAATATATATATATATATATATATATATATATATATATATATAAATATATATATATCCCCGCAGCACCTCAGACGACCATGAAACTTGAAGAGCACGACCACCGGAGATAGGCGCATCCACCGGTGTCATCAGATGAACTAGCCGGAGCAGTACGCGCCGGTGTTGGAGCCCTCACGTGCCGCCATGCGCCACCCAATCACTGCCTTCGTACGACCGCACAGGCAGACAACGCAGACCTCGTGCAGATTGCAGGACCAACAACACATCGTCTGTGCAGATAACGCAACCCGTGTGCAGATCGCGCAACATCTGTAGAGACAACACGAGATCCGTGCGAGCAGCATCCCCAGCAAACTGCGCGACCTGCAGCGCGACATGCGTGTTCCCAGCTCGACCTCGCACCGCTCAACCACAGAGACCGCAGGATACCCGTCCTCAGTATACCCACAGCAGCTGCGCGACGTGCCAGTGCCCCGCGCGACCTAGGCTACCAGCGCAATAGTCTTCGTGCAGTCTCAACTACCAGCGTGCAGGCCTTGTGCAATCTCAGCCATCAGTGCACCAGCAGACCCCAGGCGTGCCGTGGCGAGTCTAAACGTCCTCCAACAGCTCGGGGGTAGTTCGATAGTAGTTCGACAATCTCGAGGCCAGTCTGGAAGCCCAACGGACTCTAAGGTTGAAATGATCTTAAACAGTGGAAATCATAGATGTCTGAGAGTTGACAAAAACTTTAAACCGTGAGTCCTGATCCTAACTATAGATTCCGCAACGGTAGGATTTATGTTTAATATATTTCAATGTTCACATGGACTAAGTTCCTCATAAAACCCAACAAGTTTAATTAGAATTGTAATAACATTTCATTCCTACAAAATATTGCATAGGGGGATTCCAATTTCATTACATATATTTGTTGGGTTCTGTCAGCATATCTAACAATATCAACCTAACATAATCTAGAGTTCACCATAAAAACCTAAGAAAATACATAATTCAACAAAATAAAAAATCACTAAACACAGCCCTTCAGTTCAACATCTTTAGATAATAGACATGACTATTACTACTAAACACACAACAAGAACCAAAACAACAACATCAAACAAATCATCACAACACACATTTTCCTTTATAGCTTTTGCACTTGAGTTAAGCAAAATTTGTTCAACATTCTAGTCACATTCAACCTCAAGGCATGTCTACCCCTACCCTTAGGGGGTGTTAGAAAAAAAAAAGAAACTCAAGGCATGTCACTTTGGTTTCAAGCTCCTTAAGCTAAAGCTTGCTTCTCTCACACCCGACATGTCGTTGTGTAATTTTTCCATGACCATATTGTCTTGTAACTTTTCTTTCAGCGCCTCTTTCTGAGCCTTTAATCTTATCAAACATGTCTTTTAGAACTCGAGCAATGATGGATCAATCCAATCAAAGAAACCACAATCATCAAACTGTTGCATATCAGTTAAAGGCAAAACCTTCATATAAAAATTAGATTTTCTAATTCCTGTTTGAACTAGATTGTAGGAAAAATTACATCACATAATTCAATAATAAATTACATTTCTCACCCGACACCTGTAGAACCTCCTAAATAGATCGTTAGTCATGAGGGTGAGGAGATCCGCCTCTTTACCGTGGTGGCACTACTTCCGCACAAGGAAATTAGAAGAACCGCTATATATGTTGGAAATTTTGGCTTGTGCGAGACGATTACGACATTTTCAGAGGTTACGGTGATGAAGCTGCAAGTTATGGGGACGAAGACGAGCTCCAAAATTAGGGTTTGGTTCGAAATGAAATTGGCAAATTTGGGGAAGATGTGACATTTTCAAGTATTTTTTTGGGTTTTTAACACGTCATTTAATATATACCATATTAATGAGAAAAGTAGTCCATGTAGGATCAAACGCCGGATATACTGACAAAAATGTCGCCGACGACGGGTTTGGGTTCAAATTGCAAACTTAAGACCATTTAATGTTATTTTTGCTAATCTTTAAAAGTGTAACTAAAATTGCAGAAGGTGTAATGTGATAATATTATTAACAATTAGTCCTATACTAAAATTGATTTCATGGACCATTAAAAAGGGTGCAGCCTATTTAACGGTAAACCGACCGATTATGAGATGGACGGAGTTGCCAGTGGTTCTAGACTATTCCTCTTCGCGACAAAAACAAAGGGAGGATAACCCAATGAACGGCTCAGATGAAGTGGAAACTTCAAGAACCAAACAGATCCCTTGATTTTTTATTTCTTAATTTCTCACACTGCACATACATTTTTGCCCTCACTCTCCCTTACTAAAAACCTAATCAGCCCTATCCGTTCGTCACCAACAAGCTGCTCTCTCATTAAACTTCTCTTCTCCGCCTGAAAATTCAACCCACCTCAAATTTCCATTCTTCATACTTTTAAGGTAGTTGCTTCTGTAGTTTTTGTAATGGTCGTGCACAAACGCCTGTGGATTTGGCTTCTGCTCCTGCTTTTGAAGTTGCATTCCTTACTTATTTGTATATATTATAAAACTAATAAACCATTTCAGGGTTGCGAAGCCTATCTGTGCTTGTTTTATGTCACTGCTGTTTTTCTTTATTTATTTATTTTATTTTGTTTATATGAAGAATTTGAGGCTTGGCAGGTTTTAGACGACAGTTTGATTAATCTTTTAGCTGGAGAGACTGAGTCTAGCAGAAATTGTTTGAAAAACGAAATCTTTTGTGTTTGTGTTGTTAATTTTATGCGGCAAGCATTTCTTTCAAGAACTGCATGTTTATTTTTTTAAAATCCAATAATTTCCTGAAAGCCACCTGTATTTGCGTAAAGGTTTGAATTGATGTAAAGTAATTCATGAGTGTGTTCTGGGAAATGACTGATATACCTGAGCTGCATTTGCAATAGGATCAATCTCCAATAGTCATTCATTTTACTGCACATAAAGGTTGGTTACATGATTATCTTTTCTAACTATTTAACTTCTCTGAGAGTACATAGAAAGGATATATGCATTTTCTATCGATAGACAAATTATTACCTGCCAAATTTGGATTCTTTCAAGTAGTCTTATGAATTATGTGGTAATAACCATTTAACCATAATTTTTGCTTGCGGACATCAGGTCTAAAGAATAAATGGCGTCAACTTTTGCCGGCATATCTGCGGTTGGTTCATTAGCTGCCTCTGGAAGCAGGGTCATGGATAATAAAACTGCAGCTTCATCAAATAAATTGTCATCGCTTGCTTCAATATCTTCTAGTTCACTTGGGAGGAGAAAGTACGCTTCAAAAAAAGCACGTCCCTTCCAAGTAACAGCAGCTGCAAAGGACTTGTATTTTAATAAGGATGGCTCAGCAATAAAGAAACTTCAGGTGAGTAACTGAAATATCTGATTTATGTGAAGTCATGTGTTTTTGTATATCTAAAAAGTGTGCTAATGGGCGACTTTCTCTTGTTTTCAGAGTGGTGTAAACAAACTTGCGGACCTAGTTGGCGTCACCCTTGGTCCCAAAGGCAGAAATGTGGTTCTGGAGAGCAAATATGGTTCCCCAAAAATTGTCAATGATGGAGTTACTGTCGCCAAAGAGGTATGAGGGTGCACACACTAAATTCGAGGGCATTGATTAGTAGAGTTGATGTTGATAACTTGCCTTTATAAGCATAGGCCATTGACATATCATATTTGTCTTTTGGTGGTAAATGCTTTAAATCTGGTGAAGATCTAAGTATTTTCTGGATTATATAACAACGTTGTTGGTGATTCTTGTGTAGGTTGAGTTGGAAGACCCTGTAGAGAACATTGGAGCTAAATTGGTGAGACAAGCAGCTGCAAAGACCAATGACTTGGCTGGAGATGGGACAACAACATCTGTTGTCCTTGCACAAGGCCTTATAGCCGAGGGTGTTAAGGTATGTGAGGTGTCTTGTGATGACTATAGTATATGTGATGTGTAACAACATATTTATGGACACTGAAATGCATTTACTCTTCAGGTGGTAGCAGCGGGAGCTAATCCTGTTTTAATAACTAGAGGAATTGAGAAAACAACCAACGCTTTAGTATCTGAGCTGAAATCAATTTCGAAAGAGGTATACTGCTCTGCGAAAGTTTTCCATTATATAATGGTCAAGTATGTCATGGTTTTTGTGGAAGATAGTGAACTAGCAGATGTTGCAGCAGTGAGTGAACTGGATTGTAATTGCAGGTCGAAGATAGTGAACTAGCAGATGTTGCAGCAGTAAGTGCCGGGAATAACTATGAAGTTGGGAACATGATAGCCGAGGCATTGAGCAAAGTTGGTAGGAAAGGTGTCGTGACTCTTGAAGAGGGCAAAAGTGCTGAAAACAGCCTTTATGTTGTTGAGGGAATGCAGTTTGATCGTGGCTATATTTCTCCATATTTTGTGACTGACAGTGAGAAGATGACTGTTGAATATGAGAACTGCAAGGTAGACATTTCTTTGTCTACTCAAAGCAAAAATTATAGATGTGATGTAGAAAGGTGAAAGGTTTATGTGCTTACAACCTTTTATGTTCTTTTTGTTGTGTAGTTGCTGCTTGTTGACAAGAAAATAACCAATGCTAGAGATCTCATAAACGTGTTGGAAGATGCCATTAGAGGTGGTTACCCCGTTCTAATTGTTGCTGAAGATATTGAGCAAGAAGCTCTTGGAACCCTTGTAGTGAACAGGCTGAGGGGCGCACTGAAAGTTGCTGCTCTCAAAGCTCCTGGATTTGGTGCGAGAAAGAGCGAGTATCTCGATGACATGGCAATTTTGACCGGAGGTAAATATTTGTTTGCTCACTGGGCATTCTTCTCAGGATGTTAAGTGGCATTTTATTTATGGTACAGTGTTGAGTTTGCTTCCTTCTTCTACTCTGGTAGACAGTCTGTTTCTTACATTTCATATGAATGTATTACTGACGAGTATTTGTGAATGCAGGAACTGTGATACGGGATGAGGTTGGGCTGACATTAGACAAAGCTGACAAAGAAGTTTTGGGTCATGCTGCCAAGGTTGTGATGACAAAGGACTCAACAACGATAGTGGGAGACGGCAGCACTCAGGAAGCTGTTAATAAACGTGTTACCCAAATAAGAAACCTTATTGAGGTATGTCTCTTTGCCTTTTAAATTGCATTGATGTATGGAGATTGGACTTACGTGTTCTAGCTCTCGGGTCCTTGATTAATTGCATAACATCTTGAGTAGGTTGCGGAGCAAGATTATGAGAAGGAAAAGCTGAATGAAAGAATTGCAAAGCTATCTGGAGGCGTTGCTGTTATTCAGGTGATTTGACATGTACCTTTATTTCTTTTACCATATAGGGGGTGGGGTGAATGATTCTTGTTATAATCTTTTTTAATGATTCTCTTAAATTTTGGAATCTTAAAGGTTGGGGCGCAAACGGAAACAGAGCTGAAAGAAAAGAAGCTTAGAGTAGAAGATGCTCTCAATGCCACTAAGGTTAGATATGGGATTCAAACTTTCTATAAGTCAGTTGTTTCAATTTCTGGAGAAGGGACTCCGTTTACTGATATGAAACAACCAAACTGACTTTTACAGGCAGCTGTTGAGGAAGGAATTGTGGTTGGCGGTGGATGCACTTTGTTGAGACTTGCATCCAAGGTCGATGCTATCAAGGAAACTCTTGAAAACGATGAGGAGAAGGTAAAGATTTCTGTGAAAATCTTTTTATTTGATGATTGATGTTGAAATATATGAGGACATGGTGTTTTGGTGTAATCCTTACCAAAGGTTTTTACTATTTTTTGTTGGATTTTTTATTCGCAATTATGACTGAGTGGATTGTTTTGGTGCAGGTTGGAGCAGACATTGTCAAGAGAGCGTTGAGTTATCCGTTGAAATTGATTGCCAAGAATGCTGGAGTTAATGGTAGTGTTGTAAGTGAGAAGGTGAGTGGAACTCTTGGATCTAGTCATGCAATTGAGGAATATTTTCAAATATCTGGGATTTACTAATGTGTTGGCGGTGTTGAAATTGCTTGTGTACGCATTACATCAAACTAACTTTTAAATTTTATTTCTCAGGTGCTATCAAGCGACAACCCAAAATATGGTTACAACGCTTCCACAGGGCAGTATGAAGATCTCATGGCTGCTGGAATCATAGATCCAACTAAGGTTAGATATTTTTTTCTTACCCCTACCCAGAAATCCATTTTTATCATGTTGCTTTCTTTTTTTTTGATATCGCTTGCCCTTCACATGCAATTTGGGTGGTGTATTTTGATTTTTGTAGGTGGTAAGATGTTGCTTGGAACATGCATCTTCAGTTGCCAAGACATTTTTAATGTCTGATTGCGTGGTTGTCGAGATTAAGGAGCCTGAACCTGCCGTAACTGGAAACCCTATGGACAACTCAGGTATAAATAAGTAATTGATGATGGGAAATGCTCTACTTCCCGTATCTGCCTAACTGCTGCATTCTGCAATGAGGTTTTATGGTCACTAACTGATTGTATGCCCTCTNTTTAATTTAGGATACGGTTACTGAGCAAAGCAGAAGTGAGCTCTGTCTGCTTGAAGAATGAAGAGCACATTGTGAATTGTGCACCTGTGGATTGTTTAAGATTTGAATAAGCTTTTGACCTCTATGTGGTAGGAATATGAGATTTTGAGTTGAGGAATGTTAGTTAGAGATTTAAAATGCAGCAAAGGAGATTGGCTTTAGTTGGATTCGGTTTTGTTTTGCATGCATTGACTAGAACCGAGAGATAATAACTGTAACGATATTCTGTGCTGTGTTATTTTTTATATTAATCATCAACTGTCTGTGGTTAATTATTCTTATCTATTTCCACTGTTTATTACTTTCTTTAGCACCTTCACGGTAAACCAAAGTCGGACTGATTGGATTCGAATCATGAGTGCTATCTGTGAAGTGTGAACAGTGTAGCAAGTGAACTGCATTTTGTTCATATTCAAATTGGCCTCTCGCAAATAAAGTTTCTCATCACTTTTGGGATATCCGTGGTCCAAGATAAAATGAAATAGAAGGCTTCGTTTGTCGAGATGAGATTGAAATAAAGATAATATATGATGAATGATTTAAATTGTTTGTTTTGATTAATTTATTTGTGGAGATTGTACTAAATATGAGATGAATGGATGATAATGTTTGTTTGGATTTTTTTTATTTTTTTTTTATTTTTTTTAAAATTATTTTTGGTAATTGAAGGGTGTATCTGTAGGTCTAGGTGTCAAGCACTTCAGATCTGATAATAAGACATTCCTCACGATTTTTTTTCTTCTATTCTGTTTATAGGAGGCTTGAAGACTTGTAGGCTGTTATGGAGAGGATAGTTTTTCTTAAAAAAAATATATATATTTGTCCAACACATGTTTAAAATATTAGATGTCAGAAAATAAATAAAAAAATTGATGTAATCAACTATTTTGAACAAGCAGCATGGAAATGATACGGCCATCTAACTAACCATTTTGTTAATTAACAAAAGGAATACTTGAGTTGAAAATATTGAAACCTTGTAAATAATGAAATAATATTATATAATACGTCTACTGAAAATTAATAAATAAAAATTATATTATATAATGTTATCTATTTATACAATGCACATAAATTATTGTTGGTATCTAAATTATTTTATAATAGTAATTTGGGGAACAATTGATATTGAGAACAAGAAATTATAAGGCTTAGTGNAAATGTATAATATAAAATTATATATTTTTTTTATTAATTTTATAGTGTGACATTTCTCTAAATAATAACTCAATAGTACATACAATCGACCATGTTGATTAATGTTTATATTTTTTATTTTATTTTATTTTTTATATTTAAAATTTCAATCTTTATTTAAGTTAAAAAATAGAAATAATAGAAACAATCCTATTTTCATTTTAATCACATTTCAAATTTTCTATTATTGCTTAAAAAAAATGATGTACATAACAAACAACAATAATTGATTTATTTCTTTTTTTATAAATTGGGAATAGATATAGCCCAATTGATAGTTCAATTTAAAAAGTAGTTCATTTTTGTAATGAGTAATTGTTTGTAAGACCTAATATTGGTCCAATAATTTTACCAAGGGAACATATCCCACATTGGAAACACAAGCAAAAAGATGTGCTATTTAAATCACTTCACAATCAACCAATTTAAAATTCAAAACCTTGAACCGTTAAACCATTCGAACCGGTCCCGGTTCAACCGGTTTTGGACCGGTTCGAACGGTTTTTTACCGGTTCAAACGCTGAGCGGTTTGATGGTCCAAACTGGACCGGAATGAAGACCGGTTCTCGGTCCAACCGGTTGAAGTGGCTGGTCCGGTCCGGTTTTCAGAACAATGATATTTATAGTGCTCATATGTCGGTTAAAGATCTTCCAGAGATTTCTACAATCCTTTGATAACATCATTCTGTAGATTATTCTATAAATAATTAAAGCAACGTATCGTAAATTGCTAGAATACTCCGGAATGCGCATCAAGTTTTATCACTCCCTTTTGATGCTCATTTGGGGAATACAGAGGTTATCTCGCAATGTCTCGAATTTTGGTCGCAGTAGTGCTTTCGTGAAGATATATGCTAGTTGATCTTCTGTGGCGACATACTTGAGTTTTACTTGTTTGTCATTAGTAGCTTCACGTAGAAAGTGATATGTGACAACAATGTGTTTTGTCCTACTGTGATGTATGTTGTAGCACAAATTATTATTTTTACCGAGTACCGAATCGAAGGATTCGTTCCCCGGGTCGATCTCACAAGGAAGACGGTTCGGAATCTAGCTTTGGTGTCGATTACACACGAAAAGAAAATAAATCCTAAACACTCTAATTAGATAAGGGGGTTTGAATAATGATCAGCTAAGAAATAATAAAGGCAATAATCTACCTAAATTATAGACTAACAAAGATGAAGAAGCTAGGGAGTCGGGGATAATTAATTCAAGTTCTCTTCGCAAAACTGGGACATTAATCGTTCTATTTCAGATTGACACTCTCGTTTAAACATCTAGCGGTTCGCTCCCAATAACTCTTCGTAACAAGGGATTGAACATAGACGAACAAGCTCGAGTATACAATACATGCCAATTATCCCAATCTCAATAACTTTTCGTAACAAGGGACGGGTCATCGACAAGCACGTATTTCAATCCAAAACCTATAGACTATTCAGTTACGAAATCATCTATCTCATGCGAGCCTAGGTCTACGACTTCTCCCCTTTCGGTTCTAAAAGTCGCCAATTCAATTAGAAGGTGTTTAATCTACTAATCATATAGAATCAACAAACCCTAACTCAACAATTCAATATCCAATCGTTACCAATTGCAAGATCGAAGTGTCACCCTTCGATTATATCAAACTATCAGGCACAAATTCATCAATTCCGAACTAAATCAACTCACATAAGCATGAACAAATCAAAGCCCGACAAATACAATTTAAACAATAACAATCATCCCCTATCCCTAGCAATAGGAATTAGCTACACAAATTGAATTCAACACAATAATTCATTTCTCCCAATTCAACCATTATTCATGAATTAAACAAGAGAAAGAAATACTTACAATCAATCTAAAAATTCACGTGTTGAATCCACTTACAAAGCTTAATCCCTAATTATTAAAAAGAAGAAGAAAAATGGAAGGGAAAGATAACAAGAGGAGGAAAAATGAAGAAGAAGAAGAAGAAGAGGAGGAAGGAGAGGAAGGAGAAGAGGAAGAAGAATGAGAAAAATGAAGGGGGAGGCTATTTTTGGACCAAGGGTTCCTCCCCCTTCGAGCTGGTCGTGAAAGAATGGAGAAGAAAATGAGTTTTTGGGGTTCTTATACAATTCTAGGACTTGCAGGGGGCCTTAGCGCCGCTAAGGTGCCTTAGCCGTTCGAGCCAGTACCGTGTAGCGCCGCTATCCTGTGTGCCTTAGCGCCGCTAAGGTGCCTTAGCGGCGCTAAGGCTCTGGCAGCCTGCTGGTCTTTGCTTCTCAGGTCTGTTTGGGCTCGTCCGAACTCGGAATTGAGTTCCATATTTTCCCACACGTCGCTAACGAACCCCTCTATTCAATGATGTTTGAATGGACAAATTATTCTTGAAGTCCAATGCTATCAAAGCTTATGACCAGCACACCAAAGACACACCAAAGACGTGCTTCGTGCGACTTCGCGTATTGGGCCCGTTTGGACTCGTCCAAGCTCGAAATTGAGCTCCGCTTCTTCCTATATATCGTAAACAAACCCGTCTATGCAACCATGATTGCCCGTTCAATTTTCGGGCAAAATCTCTTCCTCACGGGGCTTCCACCTGCACACCAAAAACAAGAAGAAAAAACCAGAAAAACACACAAAAACACATAGAAGACCAAAATAGAGTAAAACACAAAATAAACTACAAAAACGACCAAAAATCAACTAAAAGACCTAAAACAGGGGAAAAGAAAAGACAAAACAATAACGAAAAACGCAACAAAAATGGGACAAACAATGTACAGGATTTTTCGCCATTGATATCGCCGATTTGTTGTCGCAGTATATCTCAGTTGGATTTTCTTGGTGCTCTCCTATGTATCCAAGAATTCGCCTTAGCCAAATAGCTTGACTTGTCGTTAGTGTTGCTGCGACATACTCAGCCTCTGCAGAAGATTGTACCACACAGTCTTGCCTTTTGGATGACCATGAGAATACGTCTGAGTCAAGTGAAAATGTGTAGCCTGAGGCGCTTTTCATGTCGTTAGCTGATCCATCCCAGTCACTGTCTGTGTATCCTATCAGTCTTGAATCTTCATTATATTGGTACTGAATTTCGTAGTCTTTAGTGCCCTGCAAATATCGCAGTATTCTTTTCGCGGCTCCATAGTGAACTTGACTCGAACTTTGCATGAACCTCGACAGTAGACTTGTCGCGTACATGATTTCCGGTCTTGTGGCCATTAGATATAGTAGGCTTCCAATCAGGCTTCAGTATGTGGATGCGTCTGCATTTGGTGTGCTATCTTCTTTGGTGAACTTCTCGTTCGCGACCATGAGAGTAGTCACTGGTTTACAGCCGTCCATCTTGAACCTTTTTAGTAGATTATCTGTATATTTCCTTTGTGAAATAAATATCCCATTTTCTTCTTGGGTTACTTCAATGCCGAGAAAATAGCTCATTTGCCCAAGGTTTGTCATCTCAGAGGTCTTCCATCATATTTTCTTTGAGCTCCTTAATCATCTCCTCCTTGTTCCCTGTATAGATAAGATCATCGACATATAGAGAAACAATGAGTTTGTTATCGTTACCTTGGGTCTGGCTTATCTAATAACTCTGAAGAGAGTTTGCACCTTTTAATTGCCCCGGCAGAGTTTGTTTTTTTCACCAGCCTTCCAGCCTAAAAGAGCCTTTCTAACATTTATAATCCTTTTTTGAATGCAAAACATATTAGGACCATGAACAGGGCTACCCCAATCCATTTCCACTATTTCCTGATATCCCTCCAAATTGGTCCACCTACTATCAAAAGAAAATATGTGTTTTGGGATTTCAAAAGAACCAAAAAGTATCCAAAATTATCATACTATGGCCAGAAGATAATAAAGAAATGTGTTTAACTTGAGCATTGGTAAACAACAAGTTCCAGTTAGGGGAAATGATAAATCTCTCTAACTTTTCTTTTTTAAACTCACTCCCATGTCTATTGTTTCTCCAAGTAAAAGGGTGGCCTATAGTTTTAGTGTTGACAACTTCTAAATCCCTTACCAACCCTCAAAATTAGACTCCTCTCTCACCACTCCTCCTAAATTTTCATAATTATTAAAAATATCATTGAATTCACCTCCAACTAACCAATTCTCAAAGTACGCCACTAAACCTTCCTAACCACTGAATTATTACTTGCATACAAAAACACAACCCACTGAAATATACGACTATTTTTCTAAGAAAATTTAATTTCTAAACAAAAGTCTAATACAATGAGGTCTAGGATAACTATGTTGGAAGACCAAAAAAGCAACATGCCCACTTTAGTACCAACATGATCTATGTACACCTAACTATCTCCTAATTTCAGCCTTAGTTTTAACAAATTTTGATTTTTTCTTAGTCTGTGACAAAAACACAAAATCAGGCAGGTGAAGTTTAACAACTTCTCTTATTTGGATAACTGTAGAGGATCCTCCTAAATCCCTACAATTCCACACACATACCATTATTTTAAACCATGGGACTAGTTATGGATTGTTTCCTCCACCTTGGATTGACTGTCATCTCAACAACTTTTATTTTTTTACTTACTGCATAACAATTTCAGTCTGAGTTTCCTCTAGTTGAGACTCTAAAGTTCTTTTTCTGCCCTGCCCTGTCTCTAGTTATGCTCTCTCTCCAATTCCCTCTAAATGAATTAACATATTAACATTTTCCACCACTACATTATAAGTTTTGGTTTTCTCACAAAAGATTTATTTTTTCTTTGAAGAACTTTTGCTCCAATAGAGGATGGCTGAATATTAATTTCCACAAATTGGTTGTCTTCCGGGTTTAAGACCACAAGACTCTGAACTCTGATTTCTTTCTCAATTAAAATTCCCTCCTTTTCTAACACTTCATTTCTACCCTTAATTAAACTAGAATCTCCTAATGTATCCAAATTGCTTAGATTTTCCCTTATCTCTAGAATCAGCTACACTTTTATAACCTTCTCCTACCCCATGAGAGTTGAATCAAATTTTTAGGAGAAGTAATCATATCTGGTTCACTAGCTTAGCTGGTTACTGGCTGAACATGGATACTTCTAAACTCACTGGAACTGAAGCTATTAACACCCAGTCATTCTCCAAATTGGCCCAAGTTAAGCACATTTGTATGCACATCTTTTTTAAAAAGACAATTCCTATTAGGATGACCTATCTTACCATCGTGAAAATAGAAACTTTTGATAATTTCATACATGAAATCAATCCAGCGATTTTCAGCTCCAAAAGTTATCATTTGACCAAAAACCTCAGTCCCAGGACGCGCCACGTGGCACCACAAAATCGAGCTACTCCCAAAGAGAGTTCACCAGAGCCTCTAGTCAGTCTCCCATTCGATCCCTCTCGCTGTCTGCAATTTCTCTCTCTCTCTCTCTCTCTCTCTCTCTCTCTGTCTGTCTCTCTCTCTCTCACACACACACACACAGCGCACGCACTAAGGCAGTTCAATTTCCACCGGCATGGCCTCTACCAGCTACTCCGCTCTGTATTCTTCCCCAGCCCTGCCAACAAGGCCATCCCCCTCGCGCAACCAAATCCCCTTCCTCTGCTGTTCGCTCAAGCTCCGCCGCAGAAATCCCTGCCCGACCCCACCAATTGCTCGACCCAATGCCAAAATATCCGTTTTAGTTGCCAAAGCCTCCAAGACGGCGGCTCAGGATCAGGAAGAGGATAAATATGAAGAGTATGAGGTGGAATTGTTGCAGCCGTACGGGCTCAAGTTTGCAAAGGGCAGAGACGGAGGGACTTACATTGATGCAATTGCACCAGGAGGATCGGCCGACAATACCGGCATGTTCTCTGTCGGAGATAGAGTGCTGGCCACCAGGTATTTTTTTTCCTTAAATTGATGCTTATGAATTTGGGGTATTTTCTTCTTCTTCTTCTTCTCGATGTTGTAAGTTTGCGAATATTTTTGAGAAAGTGATTTATTGTAGTAGAAATTGAAGAAAAAAGAGGATCAAAAAGTGATGTCATGTCTGTGCGCATGGTTTGTTATCTGATTTAAGTAGTTAAAATTGCCGCAGTGCAGTTTTTGGGGAAGAAATATGGCCTGCTGCCGAATATGGGAGAACATTGTACGCAATCCGACAAAGAATTGGGCCCTTGCTCATGAAAATGCAGAAAAGATATGGTGAGTTTGATGATTTGTTATGCTTGCCACACTTGTCAAACTTTTTAAAAAGTTGAGGTCATTATTAATATCAGGAAAAGTGGATGATACGGGTGAATTAACGGAAAAGGAAATCATCAGAGCCGAGAGAAACTCTGGTGTTGTTAGCAATAGAGTGAGGGAAATCCAAGTGAGTTCATTATTCAACAAAATCTAACTTCATGTTGTCATGTTTTACTATTCGCTTTTATTTTTCTTTTTCTCGCGTTTTTGGAACTAGTGAATGTTTGATGTATGCAACTCTGGACTTTGGTTGATTAGATGCAAAATTACTTGAAGAAAAAGGAGCAAAAGGAACAGAGAGAGAAAGACCTTCGCCAAGGGTTGAAGCTCTACAAGTAGGAAAAAAACGTGCTCTTCATCTTAACCCTCACGCTTGCTTCAACATAATCTAAAGTCCTTTCCATCTTTTTGTCGTTTTTTTTAACACTATTACTATAGGAGTGGAAAATATGAAGAGGCTTTGGAAAAGTTTGAGTCGGTTTTGGGATCAAAACCGGAGTCAAATGAAGCTGCAGTAGCAAGTTATAATGTAGCTTGCTGTTATTCAAAGCTCAATCAGGTAAGTAAATGCATCTATGCTTTGACCTTATCGTGTGTGTCCTTCATCTTGCTGGGCCCTTTTGTAAAATTCATACAAGTTCTATGGTCTTAATTTCTGATCTTGCTAATTAAAATAAAAAAAATGTGATTATGAAGTCAATCCTTTATATCCCGCCTAAGGCCATCTCCAGCCCTTATCTCTACTCTAGCGCGGACTTTACTCTACTCTAGAGTAGAGTTGAACATTCATCTCCAGCCCTTATCTCTACATTTTACTCTACATTAAATATATTATTTTCTTATTCATTTTTTATTTCAAATAAATTGGTATATATGTATATTTAATCTTATATAAAATGTTAATTACTCAAATAATAAAAATATATTTTATGTATTTATATTTCGAATAATTTGCTATATATATGAATATGTAATATTATATAAATGTTTATTACCCAAATAGTAAATAAAAAAAATATTATGGTTTACACACTAGACCATATATGGTTTAGACCATATATGAACTAGTACAAATTTACACACTAGACCATATATGGTTTAGACCATATCTTGACATTTAAAAAAAAATTGTATTAAACTGAATTTCTTAAAGAAGATACATATACATCTATGTACCGATTGAATCAAAACTGTTACTTTTGAAAATATATGAATTACTGCAAATTTACACACTAGACCATATATGGTTTAGACCATATATGAATTAGTGCACATTTACACACTAGACCATATATGGTTTAGACCATATCTTGTGCAAATTTTATTATGTATATATATGATCTTAGCCATTGATCTTTAGATAAGAATCCTACGGTTGATTCAAATTTATTATCTTTTTTTATTCATTTTTATTTCAAATAAATTCTAATATATGTATATTTCATCTTATATTCATTTTTGGTGGTATTTTAATATTAAAAAATTACAAAATAAAATTAATACACATCAATTTTTATTCATATGGTATCATTTTACTATTAAAATATACATATATTTTTATTCATATTTTTATTACCCAAATAATAAAAATATATTTAGTATAAAAAATACCTCACACAAAGTTGTAATACGTAAATAAAAAAAATACAAAATTATTTAGCATAATAAATACATTACACAAAGTTATAAATTATTCAACATAAAAAATACATACATAAAGTTATAAATTAGTTAGCATAAAAAATACATTACACAAAGTTATTTAGCATAAAAAATACATTTACTAATACACATTATACACAAATTTATCATTAATATTACATTACAATACATAAAAAAAAAAAGAAAAAAAAAATAAAAAAATTGTAGAGATGCTACAGTGTTGCGCCAGATGTGGCGCAACACTGTTGCAATCTCTAAAGTAACGCAAATATCTAGTGCAGGGTTGGAGTGCATTTTAGCACTACAATAGCGCAAAAAGAGAGAGATAGAGCAGCGCTGGGCTTGGTCTAAGAGCGTGTCCAATGCTGCGCCAGACTTCACTCTCTGCGCTGGAATGGCGATAAAAATTGCTCCAACCCTACGCTACATATCTGCACTATTGGAGAGATGTGAATAGTTTTGCGCCAGATGTGAGCGCAAAACTGTAGCTCCCACACTACTTTTTTTGCTTTTTTATTTTTTTTAATGTATTTTAATGTGATGCTAATGATAAATTTTTGTATAATGTGTATTAATAAATGTATTTTTATGCTAAATAACTTTGTGTAATGTATTTTTTATGCTAAATAATTTTATTTATTGATGTATTAAAATAAAAATAAATAAAATATATTTTTATTATTTGGGTAATAAATATTTTATATAAAATTAAAATATACATATATATATCAATTCATTTGAAATAAAAATAAATAAAATATATTTTTACTATTTGGATAATAAATATTTATATAAGATTAAATATACATATATATACTAATTTATTTGAAATAAAAATGAATAAAAAAATAATATATTTGATGTAGAGTAAAATGTAGAGATAAGGGCTGGAGACGGATGTTTCACTTTACTCTACTCTAGAGTAGAATAAACTCCGCGCTAGAGTAGAGATAAGGGCTGGAGATGGCCTTAAGTACAAAACCTACCCAGCCATCTTCCAAAATTACAAATAACTTGTTGAAATTTATTTCTACCTTCATTTAACAAACTTGAAACGTCAGAGGTTAGTATTCGTTGATTAAATACAACGTGAAGGGGTGGCTTGAATATTTTCAAAGGGCAATTATAGTTTTAGGAGGTAATAGGATTCCTTTGTAATCATAGCCCAGGAATAGTTCTTTTGTAGTCTATCAGTAGCTAAGAGTGATGATTGATTGACTGTTGCAGTTATTAGGCATGCCATCAAGTGTCCGAAGCTCTTTAATTTCATATGATTTTCTTGTAGGTACAAGCTGGACTATCGGCTCTCAAGGATGCTATGGAAGCAGGATTCGAAGATTTTAAGGTTATAGCCGTTAAGTTTCTTTCTAAAGAACATTAAAGAAAGCTGAAAAGGACACACTTTTTGTCAAATTATGAGATTTTTTTTTTTTTTTTTTTTTTGACTTGCAGAGAGTCCGGACGGATCCAGACCTCGAAAACATCAGAAAGTCGGAGGATTTCGATCCTCTTTTGAAGAAATTTGACGAATCATTTATCAATGAGAACGCGATCAACGCTATCAAATCTCTGTTTGGATTCAACAAGAAATAAATACCTGGAGTTTGTTTACCTTTGAAGGAGTCCAAAAGCTTCATTTACAAATAAACGAGTTTTCAACATGACAAACGTGCTAGTTGGCCAGTCGGTTCTGTTTGCGGTAGTAATAGAGGTCGGTAAAATTTTGGTTTACTTTGTTAATTGTTTCCTCAAAGGTATATAGCACATTTCTGTACAAAGACAAATGTCCTCCAGATAATCAATTCCCATTCATTCTTTATTAAAACGGTTACAACTCTATTTGCACTAGGGAATCTTGTTGGTTCAAAGTGGAGAGGCGATACATAGAGAAATGTATCAACTTAATAACAGAAAAATACTTCTATATTTCTAACACAAAGCTCTTTAATTTCAAGTCTTATGACCTCAATACCTTGAGGTCAGCTTTCTTGTCCGGGCTCTTGGAGGTCGATGCCTCCAGGTCGTCTTCTTCTGGTCGGCTCGTACCCTAAGCTCGATTACAAACTCCTTGACTGGATTACTTACTTCTGGACATATTGGAATTTCCCTCGACCGGCCGAGCTGACTGCTCAAGCTGGTCTGCCTAGCTATTCTGAGTGCTACATCAGGGAGGGAGGAATAATGTTGCGAGAATATTGTGGTTGATTTTAGGTAACATGGAATGTTTTGTTCGTCTATTTGTATCCAATTTATGAAATGGTTGTTATATGTGGAAGAAAGCAAATTCGTGAGAAATAATGGTGCGAGAATATTATGGTTGATTTTTAGGAGATGTGAAATGTTTTGTTCGTGTATTAATATTTAATTAATTAAATATTAGCTATTAACTATAAATATATGATAGGATGAGTATTGGTGTATTACTAATTTGCAATTAAAAATATGTCAAAGAGTTCTTAGAGGTTTTTAGGTAAATATTCGTTATTAATTAAAAATATAAGATACGATTATTAGTATTTGCCATTAAAAATATTTTAGAGTAAGGGGTTTTTAGGTATTTCATTTTTTACAAAAACACTCGTATTTTTAGAGTAGTATAGATATAGACTAATTGGAGATCTTTCAAAATTTAGAAATAAATTTGATTGTTTGTTGCATAGTTTTTCAACTTGGGCAAGCCTGGCCGGTCGACTAGGGACCCGGTCGATCCGGAGCCGGAATCGGTCCGGGTGAGTTATTTGGACTGAGTAACAATAGACCCTGTCAAACCCGGTCAACCCAACTTTGACCCGGTCGACCCGGGGCATTGACTCGGCTCGATCAACTTGGTTGACCCGGTCCTTATATATATTTTTTTTGTTTTTTTTAAATTTTTATCTATTTTAAAAATAAAAACTATATTATATGGTTAATATTTATTATGACATACGATATTATTTATACTTTGATGTCCAAATGTGATATACAAAACATTTAATTTTGTTTTCACTAATGATTCTTGTATTCTTTTACAGGATTTTTTTGCAGTTACACCATTGTTAAATGTGTCTTTCACTCATAAATTTGTTGGAATGATTTTCTACCACTATAAATATCTCACTAATGATTCTTTTATTCTTTTATAGGAGTTTCTTGCTCTTACACCATTATTTTAAAGTGGATAAATATGCATTTTGTGTTCTTAAACTTCATTTTCTTGAAAGTTTCAAATAAGAGTAGAAAGAGATTTGAAACTGAGTATCATTGTGATCACACACAAAAAGAAATGAATATTACCTTATTAACTAACTAAATTATAAAATATTGCATATATACAAATAAAATAAAATATATACAAATAACATATTTTACTAGCAAACATAAATTGACTATTTTTATCTGTACGAGATTCTTATGTAATTGTTATTATTTCCTTTTAAAGATGTTTATTAAGTAGGTTGAGTTTTTCTTTGTAACTTCTCATACACTTTTTTACTTTTTTGTTCATTTAGCAATCTATCCTTAGTAATCGCTAAATGAAAGAGAGAAAAACTTCCAAGCCGCATGCCACCTACAATCTCTCTATTTTTATCCATTCTTTTTTCCTTAACGCCATTACTCTTAATCTCAAGCTTTTTCTTCTATCTACTTCTACTTCGGCAAGAAAAAAAACATAAGCCCACAAAATAGTGAAAATCAATCCCCCAAACGTCAGAAGCATCTCGACAATGAAGCGCAGCTTGAGTGATAAGACACTTCACCTATGACCGATAGGTCATGAGTTCAAGTCACCGAGGAAGAGAAGTGAGAACACTATTGTTCCTCCTAAAAAAAACGTCAAAAGCATCCCCACCTGCCGGTGAAGGAGAAGGTCCACAACTGAGATCTAATTCTCGTCTCCGCCAGACTAAACTTAATGTTGACCGGAAGCTCGTGCAGAAGAAGCTTCAATTCCATAAAAAATCAAAGGTTTGTGGCTAAAAAAAAATCCGCAATAAAAGGTAGCAAAGAAACGGCCTGTGCAACCCTTTCTGACGATTCGACGAAATCCCCCTGGAAAAAAGCGAACACGGCAAAAGAAGTCCACACTTTCGCAAAAAGAAAAACCCGAGCAAGATTTTGATTTTGAAGAAGAAGAAGAATTTCACATGGACGAGATAGAAATTGACAAAGATGTCGTTGAAAGCAATGACACAACTAAAAAAAAAGAAAAAAAAAGCGAATAACAAAACTGACCAGGTCGACAATCTATATATATATAATAAGAATTAACATTTTTTAAAAATAGTAAGCAAAAAAATAGGGAATATTAATTGCATTCCATTTTTGGTATGTTTTTTTTAAATAAAAAATCAAGTAGCATTTAATGCTACCACAAATCATGAGATTTGTTATATAGATGCATATTTGAATTTCAAACTTCAAACAAAACATGCCTAAATGTATTTTGAATTTTTTAGGGGAAAAATTTAACAAACACGTTAAAGATTTCATACAAAACATATATTTATATATATTATCTTAACATATAGGTTAATTAGTTTCATATATAAACAATATATATTTAAACAATATATAAACAAATATAATAATTTGTCGTACAATACAAACAAATATATAAACAATATATTTATATACAAATATAAAAAATAATATAAAAAAATATACAAACAATATATAAACAAATTTAATAACTTGTCACGTGTATATTTCGTACAATACATATATTTATATATATTATCTTAACATATAAGTTAATTAGTTTCATATCTAAACAATATATATTTTAGGAACTTAAAGATTCATAACATTACTGACGTCATGTATATTTATAATATATTGTCACGTACATTTTACTACAATTGGTGTTTTTTTAAAAATTATTTGAATAACTGGAGATTGATTTGTAATTTGAATTTCAAATTCATTCAAACATTTAAAGGAAAATATCATAAGCAGATTTTTTTGATACATTTCATTTTATCTCAACTTACATATAATCACATTCCTACCAAACATTAAATTTGCTTATATCTTTTTAAATTAATTACATCACTAAATAATATTAATATACATTACATATTTATCGTTATATAACAAATATATTACTTCTACAAGTGTTATAAATAATAATGACATTATATGATAATAGATTTTTTGATAGATTAATAATTGAGTATTATGATGAACCAAAATATGTAAAATTATTATTATTTTGTATTAAAAAATAAATATATATGTTAAAATATTATTTATAATAATATAAACGAGTCAGCATGCTATTACAATAAATTTTATAATAAAATAATATAAGTATTATACGAGGAACAAGATTACGTAAAATTGTTATTTTTCTTATATCAAAGAATAAATATATATATAATGAAATTAAATTTATATTATTATAAACAATTAATTAATTTACGCTCTAGCGCTACCACTACCAGACTCAGGTTTAATGTCTCGACAGAAAAGATGACGTTGATGAAAGAGGTAAAAAAATAGATGATCAAACTCTATTATTTTTTTGGGCCTTAACTAACAAGCTCTATTGTCTACTCATTTAATATCTCCCGTGAATCACACGAGCTACTTAACAGACAAGTTCTGTGAAAATGACTCATTTAATATTTATGTCTCGTGCATCGCACGGACTACGTACTAGTTATAAGAAAAAGAGGTCAAGACTTAACGACGAACGTCAAATCTTGTGCAAGATGGGCATCATAAAAATTTGCAGTATATTTTGTGTTTGCAATCAGTATATTTTCAATATATGTTGTGTTTTTATTAACATAACATTTATCTAACCACTATTGTGATGTTTGACTTTTGTCTTATTTTTTGTTTATATTTTCTTTTTAATTTTATACCAAAAATCTATACAACATATATATGTAAAACACTTTATAAGTGTTCTTCACGATGTAAAAAAAAATAAATAAAAATTATAGACACTAGATTACAATTTTTTTTGTTCAACCAAAATTCGGTTTATATGTAATTATTTATATAACATCCTGTCTCCGTAATATTAAACCCAAACTTGACCCGAAGCTTGTGCAGAAGAAGCTTCAATTCGATAAAGGTGGATCCAAAAAATGGACACAAAAAAGGTGGCGAAGAAAAGGTCGGTACAAACACTTCCGGGACGTGGATGAAATCCCCCGACAGAAAAACAAACACGGCAGAAGAAGAAGTCCAACACCTTCGTTAAAGAAAAACGTCTAACCAAGATTCTGATTTTGTTGTAGAAGAAGAATTTGACATGGACGAGATGGAAATTGATGAACACGTCGTTGAAAGCGATGGACTTTCTCATCAATCATCTAATTAAGAGATTAAAACATGAATATTTTAACACACAAATATCTTACCAATCTTTGGAACTCATTTAAGCTAGATATCATCACCAGAAACCTCATTCTCTTTTACTCCATATTATCCTAGAATTGCTCGAAAATGAAGTAGAGAAATTTTGAGTGATTACAGTGAAACTAACATCTTACTTGTTGTTAGCCAAATATAACTGAGAACTACCGAAAAATTATGAATCTCACTTGATCAACTTGCCAACAATTCCAGTGAACCCATGGCAGTAGCCTTCACAACATTCACTGAAGTGAACGGCAGTCATTATCTAAACATAAAAGCGGCGACAAATTCTTTTAAAGGTGCGGTTTAACAAGGATATGGTCCAGCGCACGATGGTGGCCAATCGTGTCACTGATCAGTCCATATTTCACTTCTCATGTTATTTAATTTAATTGATCAAAATACTCAATCAATTCTAAATCTAATTAATTTATTTTTTATTTCGTTTTTTCGTGTCTTGACTTGATTTTTCGTGTCGTGTTTGTGTTTTAAAATATCCCTGATGTAAAAGCGGAAGCTACTTTGATTTGCAGAATTTGGGGAGAATTTGATGACATATACAATAATCCAAATAACCCGACAAATTGTACTTATATATACATGTGTAGATGTAGTCTATTCAGATTGGGCGAAATTATCGTAATAATAATAACGATAGCGGCGAGTACCAGAAGAAGAAGATGAGTCGCCGCCGTCGGAGTCGTGATCGGAATCGTAGTAGCGGTGGTCGTAAGGGTATGGAGAGACGCAGAGATAAGTCCAGACGGAAAGCGCCCATCGGCCGATCTGCTGCAGAGGGAAACAGAGCACTAAATCCAGAAGCTCTTGGTTGCTTATCCGCTCTGATAGGCACGCCAACCGCTGCCAAACCGCCGCCGATAGGTTCGCCGTTGACGCCACGAATACGATGTTGAATGGCATTTTGCTTCATAATGCAATTGATTGATTGATGTCGGAATTAATTAAAGGGAAAGATACACGACTATGAATAGTTTAATATTATTTTTCTTTTCTCTTTGGATTATTAAAATATTCAAATGGCGTAGCTGAAAATGAAAGAAGCCAAATTATTGGGTGCCTCCACTTGACAGCTCACCCATTATTTTTACTTTAAATAAATAAATTGAGTCAATAATGATGAGTATAAGGTAGGGTGAAAACCGAAATAACCGACCCAACCTATCAAAATAATAAAAAAAAAATCGGTTCAATTTTTTTTATTTATTTATTTTTTTTCTCTCGAAACGACGGAATTTATACTCTTAAAAGAGAAATTCGACGACCAAAGCCAATACAAGCGATCTCATTGCACTGAAGAAGCAACAATCCCTTAATTGATAAAAGAGATAGATTTTGCCTCACGGCAAAGGCAAAAGCTAATACCTCGTGAGCCCGTACCTATCTCTTGCAAAACTAATCACCCCAAACAAGGGACTAAGATAGCAAACAAAAATAACTAGCAACTGATCCCCAACAGGACCTAGCTAGTTATCAAAACCTATCATAAAGCAGCTAAACAACAACAACACAAAAGGACTGTACAGACCAAACACCTGAACAATAACCTACAAGAGCTAAGTAGAACCGAGAGCAAATCCCTTCAATCATTCAGAGTCAGTTTCACTCTATCTGCCTCAGATCTCAGAATTGGTTGAAACACCAAAAGATTATGCGTCTTCCACATCCACCAAAGAAGGTAGCATTTGTCGTGCCCCGCTCGTTTAATTAGAGTCAATTCAGTTCATTTCTCGTAAATGCATTTCATATCATTTTATTTGTTAGCTCGACTAAAATTATAATAAGCTCATTGAGATTGTGTAGATGTCCTCATCTATATAATTCTACCAAAATAAATTAATCTTGATAAATCTAAAATTAAAAGTGTTACTAAATAAGGAAGGAGGAGGTTGAATTCAATTATTTCCTTATGCAACCTTAGCCAAATTTTGATTTAGTGACTCCCTTTTTGCTTTTGGCCCCAGTAAAGGTCAAAAACCTAACACAAGATATATATTTTGGATAAAACGATGCTGGTAGATATATAAGTGAAGTCAAATACCTAACACAAGATGTGTTAGATCAAGTGGTTCATGAGTTCTTTGCAATGCCACTTGTCCCAGGTTTGAATCCCCTCCCTTGTATTTTTTTTTGCAACTCTGCCATATAAGCAGCCACGTAGCTTTACAACTCAATAAAAAAAAATATCAGGTGAAATTTCTACGTAGGCAGCCAGTAACTCTGACCTGCTATAGGCGGTCAGAAAACCAAAAATCTACTTTTCTTTTACTTAGGGGACCATTTCCAAAAACAAATATTTACTGGCACTAAAAGCAAAAAATGAATCATTTAAGGGACTAAAAAACCTTTTTTGCCCACTTATTAATCTTATTTTTGTATCGTAATTTGCATTTTCGGTCATGTTATAGCCAATTGCTATTAGTTAATTTTTTGTTTTAATTACGAGAGTTTCTAGACTAAATTGCCATTTATGATGCCAATTTTACAGTTTTGCCTGAACTAACAAGATTACGCTCAAACAAAATTAATCCAAAGAATGACAATTTTTCCTGAACTAAGAAGATTACTCTCAAACAAAGTTAAAAAATGAAAGTTTAATTTGGACCGCAAGCTTATAGATTGAGCGGTACTTGTCACTCTTTATAAGGTTGTTGGGCTGGTTAATACATAGTTTGATCCTCCTATCTCCGTTATTTTAGAAATTTAGTCTCCCTCCTCACCAATCTCCTTGTAACTAAATTTTAGAAATGTGGTAATGGTCCTTTATAACATAGTCAAAGAAAAAATGAAATATAGTCATTTTGCATCGCAAAAAGACCTAATTCCCCTTAAAACACAATTTTTTCAATTTTTTCACCCTTTTCAATTTTTCATTTCTGAAACTCTGCTTTTCATTTCGCTCTCTCTCCTTTTCACTTTCTCAATCCCGCTTTCCCTCTCTCTCTCTCCTTTTCATTTCTCTCTCTCTCTCTCTCTTCTAAATTCTCTCTCTGATAAAATCATTTCGAGTACCGATTTCTCCTCTTTCCCTGAGATTCCGACGAGACGAGTGGTCTTCTCCTCCACAGAGCCGCAACTGTCTTTTCCGGCGATTCAAGGTTCGTTTTTTTGTGTGTTTTTTTTTGTGTTTTTTAGGCGATTTTTAAGGTCTTTTTTAGTTAAAATGTGTATTTTGAGTTCTTCTCCGGCGATTCAAGGTGCTTTTTTATGTTTGCGATTTTTAGGGTTTTTAGGATTCTTCTCCGGCGATTCAATTTGTATTATTTGTGTGTTGCGATTTTTAGGGTATTTTAAAATGTGTTTTTTGTGTGTTGCGATTTTGTGTATTATTTTCAACGTACCAGATCGGATTATTTTTAGAGGGCATGCTCGAGCCCACACATACCAAATCGGATTATTTATTTTTGGGGCTAATATGTGCATTTTCAATTGAAATACGTATGGTTTAATTGAAATATGTATGATTAAATTGAGGTATTATTTTTTTTTTGGGCTAAATGAGGTAGAAATTATTTTTTAGGCGACGTTTTAAGGCTATTTTCGCATATGTATGAGGTGTTAGGTTGTATATGTTTGGATTGGGTTGTGTTTATGTGTGTGTATGTACGAGCCTAATTTTTGTTAAAGGGTTTGAGGTTTGGTAAAAGGCATGTGAATTCATTTTAACATGTGTGTTTATGTGCCTCTCTTCAAGAGGTGTGGCAAAGTGTTACGAGGTCTATGTGTGTATATGTGTTGCTATTGAAGAAGTGTGGTAAAGGGTTACGAGGTCTATGTGTGTCTATGTGCTCCTCTTCAAGATTTGTTCTTTTTTTTTTTGGGCTCGATGTCCTGGTTTACGTTGACTTGAGTTCATTTTATTCTAATTCTAAAGTTGAATAGGTATTTTGCTTTCTATTATTTTTTTGAATTGGTTGAGAATTTTGTAATTGTTGTAATGATGAACTTTGTTTGGGTTGAATATTGTTTGGTTTGAATTCTTGGTTGTTGTTGGAAACACATGATTTGATTTTGTAGGTGGTGTTGGTGGTGATTTTGTAGGTGGTGAAAAACAAGTGACATTGTGCCCACAAGTGTTTGACGAAATGGCTAAGAAGAAACAACGTACACCAACTCCCGAAACTTCTCCATCTCGTGAGGACTCTCACTCTCACGAGGACACGAAAAGTGAGGAAAGTGGACCCGACACCAATAAAGAGGGAGATAAGCCATTGTATCAAATTGACCCCGATCGAGAAAATATTCAAAGATGGATGTCCGTTTCCCATATACCTTGCGGATGAAGGCGTGCACTTTAGAAATCTTGACGAATGGAAATCTTTGGATACGCAACAAATTGGCGGGAGCGAACAGGATGTTGAAGCACACGACGGGGACGGTGCCGACAGAAGTTTCACACAAATGGATTGGATGGAAAGAATTTTCAATCAATTGACATCATTGGAGGGATATGTGCGGACAAGGTTAGATGCAATTGATGCTCGGTTAGATACAATTGATGCTCGTTTGGATTCATTGGCCACTACTTGATCCATGGGACCCGACGTTCCCTCTTCATCCACTCATCCATCCACAGTGAAAGTTCTTCTGTTTCTTTTTCATTTTTTTGGACTGTAAAATGCTACTTCAATTTAATGTTAGTTTTTGTTTCTTTTGATTGTTTTGATGGTTATGAAACATGTGAAACCTCAACCGCGGCCCAAATTGTTCATTCATGTTTGAACTTCAAGTAACCATCTCACAGCCGGTTGACATGTCAACTCCGGTTGAGAAAAAATTTCAACTCCGGTTGAAGAGTCAACTGCGGTTGGCCGAATGAGTACATCAACCGCGGCACAAATTGTTCATTCATGTTTGAAGTCCAAATAACCATCTCACAGCCGGTTGAAGAAAATTTTCAACTCCAGTTGAAGAGTCGACTGCGGTTGGTCGAAAGACTACCTCAACCACGGCTCAAAGGTCAACCACAGCTCACATCGTTATTGTGTTTTTGTTTTTTTATTTGTTTTTATATTTTCAAAAATGGATGCTCAGTTTAATGCCGGGACAAAAATATGACAAACAACACAAATAAATTTATTCATACAAATCATCCATACAAATAACATTCATTTACGATCAATAAAAAACAACAAATAAATAAAAAAAAATCAACTGGCAGATGTTGATGGTTGACTGTGTAAGTTCATTATAGGTGGATGCACAACACCATATGGATAGAGAGGTGGGCCCTGAGCAGGAACTAGATTCATAAACCTACCGTGTTCCCCGGTATAGCCATAGGAAGGGTTGGTACACTCGCCTGATTATACGGACCTGGACTTTCGGTTATAATGTAACATAGATAGTAGGTATTGTGAACATGACAGACACATTTCGCAGATCTAATTCACAAGAGATACGTCATTTCTCCACCTCTCCGTTATCACCGGCCACTAAAAAGTGAAATCGGTAGTCGCACATGTTTCTATCTCCACGAACAATATCATGAACTCTATTCATGAAAGCTTCATATGACGAGGTCCTAAGACAGAAAAAATTCATCCCTGTCTCACCATTTCCCATCCCAAAAGCCATTGTGAACAATTCGCACTTTACCAACATTCATCTGAAAAAAAAAATAAAAAAGAAAATCTTAGTACAAATACTTTCTTCAACTTTTTTTTACCTTCAAATGTGTTTGGACAAAAATATATGAATACAAGACACAGTTTCTTGTTCAAGAAAAACGAGTTTCTTGAGCAAGAAACAAGTTTCTTAGCAACAAACAGGTTTCTTGCTCAAGAAACAATGGTTTTGTTCAAGAAACTGTTTTTTGTTCAATAAATTGTTTATTCTTCAATAAACGATTAATTCAGCTCCTCGATTAATTCAGCTCCTAAAATAAAAAAAAATGGCTCAAGTAACAATACAACAAAAGTCATGAACTCCAAAACACAACCCCTTTTTTTGAAGCACAAAAACTCCATTTTTTGAACTCCAAAAAAATATGTGTTCAACAAAATAAAATGGTACTAGACAAATCAATAATTTTAGGAACAAAAATAATAAATGTGTTCAAAAAATTTTATTTAACATAAAAAAAATAAATAAATTAGGTTTATGTTAATGTACCCTTTTTCTTCTCAAAACGGGATTCACTTTTAGAGATGTTAGAGATGACTAGTACAGAGCCCGTGCGATGCACGGGATGCACAATTTTAAGGTTATTTATCCAGACTTATAATTATATACATGTATACAGAAAAATGTACGGGATATATATAGTACTGATTCGTGCGAGGCACGGGATATTTATTTGAGGAATACTATATTATAAGATGCAATATTCAATAAAAGTTTAATAATAAGAAGGAAAATTGTACAATAAGATAGTCTTCGACAAACAAACAATATATATTATTAAAGACCTCCTTGTACACAACATTATGAGTTTAATTTTCCATACAATAATAATACGATTTTTTTTGTACAAAGATAAGAAGGAATTTTCAATCTACATAAACTTTAAACATTAGATGTATTTACGTAAATCAATGACTATATTGACAACTAAACCCTTCTATTTAGGCTTGACATCTACTTTATTTATGGGTGACGTAAAATAAGGATTTAATTTTGACCGATTAAATCTTTATTCATAGGCTTGACATATAAAACTGATTTGATGGGATTTTCTTAACTAAACCGATGCTATGGGATAAAACAAATCTATACTTACCTTTGACTTTTCCAGCAAAGGTAAAAAAATCGGTTCTGATTTTTATCCCATAATAAATCTTTAATGTCAAGCCTATAAATACCAAAACAAATCTGTAATTAATATCATTCTATTTCCAGCAAGCATTAATTATCTTTGACTTTTCTGCCTACTATTTCTAATAAATAGGATGACTTTTTATATAAGTATAGATTTCATATAATGCAAAGACTGAGATCATAAAAAAGAATCCTAAAAACTGAAACAATATATTTGCGTAATTTAAAGCCATTAAGAAATCGATCTCTAAATCAGATTTGATTTTCATAATATTTTTTTTTTTTTATTTCCAACCAATAGATGTCATAGCAAATATTAACTCTTAATTATTAGACTATTAGTACATACCGAGCAAATTGTGTACTGATTTTAGAAAGTTAAAATGACTCATGTTAGGTAATTTTACATTTTATGCATGTTGAACGGTGGGTTTTAAATATTGTTTCATAGATGTAAAAGTGTATTATATTATTTTTATGAGATGTTGAATTTGAAAATTAATAGAATTCTTCTTCATAGGAATTTTAAATGTAACAATATTCTTTGGTATACACTACTAATAAAATCTATATTTAAAGTTTATATTTTTTTTTTTACCGGAAAAAATTCCTTAATTTAAGGAATCATATATTTTCAATCAGTCCACATCTATATACATTCTTCACAATTTTAAATCTAATTTGATGAGAATTCGTATCTATGAGTGCAAAATATGGTTTAACAAAATAATTTTTTATTATTATTCCAGCCATACTTCTTTATACGATTTTTTGTGAAAATACAAAAGTAAATTCTTAATTTTAAATCAGCCGTACATTAAAGAGTACAAATTTGTTGAAATCACAAAAGTAATTTTTTACTTTTAAATAGACGTAAATTTAAATCAGTCATAAAAAAGTAACGTTTGTTTACCATTTAAATATTAAATCAGCCGTAATTAATGTTGTTTGTTTTAGTTGCCACGATTTTCTCCAAATTAAATTAATAACTGCCATGATTTAAGGGCAACATTTAATGCTAATCTATTTTTAGGAGACATTAAATGTATTTGGCGGGAAAAACTTGCTAAAAGTGTTAAATGGTTAATCTTTTAATATAATGATAGATATTTGAAAAGAGATCACTTTTAAGTGAATTTTGGGAAGATGAGATTTTTTTATTTTTTTATTTTTGTTTACAGAAGCGCAGCGCACAGAACAATGGAGGAGAGAAAGGAGATGAATGGGGACAACGTGCGCAGAGGACTCTTTTTTCTTTTTTTTTTTTAAATATCTTCGGTAGGTAAAACATTAATAAGGGTACAATGGTACTTTTGCCTACCAAAATGACTAGATTTCATCTTTCTGAGAAAGATGGCGCCACTACAAGAAATTTTATATTTTATGACGAAAATATTCATCATAAAAAATCTATTTTTCGTCACTAAAAGTATATAGTGACGAAAAATTTTCGCCGCAGCGTTCGTCACCGTAGCCGCGTCACAAAATGTCTATGTGACATTATTATGATTTGTCATTAAAAAACTAGTTTTAGTGACGTCTATCTCATCACTTTAAACATCAAAAAATCTTTATTAAAATTCTTAAATTGTCACTAAAAGATCGAAATTAAATGACGAACTGATATTTTGTCATCTAAATATTAACCTATAGTGACGAACTTGCCATTATTACAATCAAATTTTCGTCACTTAAATATATTTTTATATGACAAAATTAAATATTCGTCATTTAAACACTAACATAGAGTGACGAATTTCACCGGAAAAAAATAATAAATTATTATTTTTATTTTTAAAAATAACTTTTATTTATCACAATCTACCACTCGGCACACCTTGGAAGGCCGAGCCCACAAGCTCCCACACAACCCATATTGACAATTATATATTTTGCACACATTGGGATTTGAAACCTGTGACCTCTTGCATCTCAAAGTAACTCTCACCACTAAGCTGTACCAATGTATGTGACATGATTTTACAATTTTTATATTTATTAACTATTATGTAACACCCCGCTAACGTACTAGAATCAGAGTAAAATTTTCGCAAACTTATTTGGAAAATACATTAAATTTTTCGAAATCATTTAACTTAACTCGAGATGCTACTAAACTTATCTACTCTGAAAATTTGTTTTTCTTTAACTTGGTCTAAATACTGGTTCAGACATACAGAAAACAAATTATATATTCTAATCAAATGAGCATGTAACTCAACCAGACCTGTCTAGGGATCCGATACAATCTGAAAACTAGCATGCAAGTTTGATACTGAAAATAACGTCAGCGGAAATGTAAAGCGTGGCAAAAATATATACAAACTGAGTATATACAAAAGTCCACAAAACGGTTGGTTGAGCCGTATCCACGACCACCACCACAGCAACTCAACTCACGCCTGCGGCGCGACCCGAACATCTGAAAAAAACATAATAGTGGGGCGTGAGCACGAAAGTGCAAAATGCTCCGCAGAAACCCATACTAAAGTAAACAACAATAATAATAACAATATCATGATCGTCAGTATATATAAACTAAAACTGAAACTGTACTGTAACTCAATCTCCCGGCAATCTGAAAAATCGGCCGGTAACCATGTGCACACTCTAGTGGAATATTAAGGCAACTAGCGGCCACCACCAGAACTTAGGGGAAAAACTCATGGCAACTAGTGGCCACCACCCTAAGCGGATAAACTTAATATATATACATACCTTGGACATGATATCAAATATTATAGTCAATGTAATACCCAGTCTGGGCTCCCACATGTACTTTTGAAAATGAAAATGGCAGTGCTGAACTTGAAAACTGTCTCGTCAAACTGTATAAAAATATAAGCAATTAATATACTAAGTACTATGCTCAGAATACTCAATAAAATGTTAAAATGCTCGACTTTGATTCCTAACTTATCCGGATTAATTGGAACGTTCTAAGGGT